TTTGAAACATAACATGTATATTTTACAGCACGAAAAATAGCATCTAAACTAGGTAATAAAAATTCATCTTAATATTATTTAATATTATTAATATTGTGATTTCAAATGGGAAACATATTTTAAACGTGTGATAACTGAGAGGTATTTTGAACTACAGAGGGCCTTTTTGAGGTAAAGGCACACCCTGCTATGAATTCCTAGATTTCAGTGATTTGCCCCATGCAGTGTATAGTACAACTGTAATTGGATCACAACAGCTCATAGTACCTATACTGATAATTTATATTAAATATTATTCTGTTCCAAATAAAATTTAAAACAATTTTATGTCCATTTAAAAAAATGTATTTTTGTTTGTTAAGATGTAATAAATATTATGTTTATTAGTTTAAGCATACTCTATGATATTACATCAGGATGTATAATTAATACTCGTTTTAAGGTACTTATGTATCTACCTATCTAAATAGTAAAACAAAATGTACGAGGTGTGGGGAACAAAGTCTTCCAAGGGTCTCTGAGTTATTATTATACCTAAAAAAACATTTAAGGTTCATTACTGGCCCATACATAAAACAATTAATTTATAAATTTAGATGGCCATAAAATTCAAATTCATTTGAAATAAGAAGCTTGACATGGTCAAGAGGGTATCCTGCCAGGATAACCTTAACGAGGTTTGACCTTAACGCGTCAACCTGATAGCTGGAGTACTGGTAGCATTTAATCTCTTCTGTGCTGGTAGGAAGTGCAAGGAATTTGGGTGAACGATGACGATATGACTTGAAGAGCAAACCATTAAATACAAGAATGCCGAGTGTTGATATCACTGTGGTTTATTTTTTATGCTCGGGGCCTCAGTGGCCAATATAATTTTATATTTTCGAACGCGTTAATACGTTTTCCTGGTGTGACCACCAGTCACCACCAAGGCAGAAATGGAAGGTAAAAAAAACCAACATAAATACAGTAATAGGTAGGTAGGTACAATAAAAAAATAATCTGAAGAGGAGACCGTGGCGGTCATGTTTTCTTGAAAAGTTGAAACAGTGTGTGTTTTGGGGGACGCCTCATCGCCCTGGTCTCGATTGTGTAACGCCGGTAATGGTGCGCAGCTTCTAAGACTACTGCATAAAAAATTTGAGAAGTTTCATAAACAGGCGGTATTACTACTGTTACTAGCGGTTTGATTTATATTCTTCCTCGAACTCGACAACCGTATCGTACAAGAACCAGTTGCAGACCACTTACCTTCACCATCTGGTTCATCAATTTATATGGTTCGCCAAATTATCTCCCGAGGTACCGGCTGCCGATGTTCCCGCCGTTGCACTTGCATGTGTACTCACATTCATCCGCCGCCATCCAAGTGCACATCTCACGATATTATACAGCCACACGGGCCATCGCCGCACGCAACCCATATAATTATTAAATTATGTTCAACGACCAACTCACTCGGTCCGTACGGAGTCCGGCTACGAGAACGTGATAGGTAGCCCCTATCCGGCCTATTCTGTGTCAAAAACCGTTCAATTTACTTGAATGTCATAATCGGCCCTCTCTCTCCCCATTTTTGTCCATCCGTCGGATAAATTTTATTCTGGTAGTTGTTTAGTGTTTTATGTTTTATTGTTATTGTTTTGATTGTTTAATACTTACATACAATAACGCATATACCTATATAATTTATGTAGGTATACAAAACACGTTAACAGATGTTTTTTTGTTTTTCATTGAATTATTTATTGGTTGTATAGGTATTGCGTGTACAGTACTCGAGTGTTTACGAGTCCGGACATCGTAAAGCAACAATGAAACGCGAGGAATTAGGTAATATGTATCGTTCTGTTGTATGTATAGTAGGTTTCTAGTATACCTCGATGAACGGAGGCTCTATGTCGAGTATTATAAAGGTCACTGTAAGGGATAATTTTAATTTAAATCGGTTTTTTTTAATTTGAATTATTAATTCTTTGTAAATTTATCAATTTTCTTGTAGTTATTCCTGATGTTCAAGGAAAAATTAAAAGTCATATGCGTGTATACTGCGAATTAAATTATAGTGCTTTGGTGTTTGAAAAGATAATAATAATAATAATAAATGTACATTGTATAATTATATATTTATAATTAGACACTCGTCTACAGGAACGTAAATGGAGGTGGGGGCTTAGCCCTATCTGAGCTATCTTAGGCTCTTTCTAAGATATTTTACTTCATTGCAATACTATACATTTAAACATTTTACTATTTTAGTACCTTAATATAGGTTATTTGTATTATAATAAATTATATAATTTATATAATTTATATTTATAATATTTATAACGAATGGTAATAATATCAATAAATATAGTAATAGGAATAATATGTAGTTGTGTTTTTATTGACTTTTTGTTTTAGCGTTCCATATTTCATAAACTATAATCAGTTTATAGCAATATAGCCTATTATAATTTATAATGGCCTGAAGGCCAAACTCATCGTCCGAATATCTATTCATCACACGGACGTGTGTGTGCAGGCTACCGAGTACAAATACGCCGGATCGTCCAAAATCATAAACATCACTGATACTCTTTAGTCTTTTTGTTCTCGAAATTTTAGGGCGAGTTGTACCGTCTCTGAGTAGACTTCGATTACCTAAGCTCAATCAGCTGATAACAGACTTTATAACCGGCCAAGTTCGACCGATTAAACTTCGGTTAACTTTAATCGGAGATGGTTACTAAAACTGAGTAAAACTGGCCCTTAGTCATACGAATTACGATTGTATGATTATTGTTGTTTTAAACTTGCCAAGAAAATCTTAAATCATTAATTTGAAAATAATAGTCCCGTAATTAATTTATATTGGTAACACTAAAGTTATATGTACCAGGTACATTGTACCCACTATGCACTAATATAAATAATCAAATAATATAATTAATTGTTCAATTAAAAGCAGATAAATTCTATTGATAAAAATAATCTATTGATCTAAGTTTTTTCATTTATCATAGTATTCATTTATCATTAAATTGTTGGTTTAGAAAGCACTTTTCTAGGTTGTAGGTACTTAGGTATATCATACGACTAGTTCAAGATAACAACGTAACAAGAATCGAGAATATAACAACTTTATGCAATTTAGCATCTGAACATTTATACCAATAATAAATTAAAATAAATAATAGAATACTTAATGATAATTTATTTTACCAAAGTTTTTTTTTTAAAAATGTTAGTTATTTTTTTTTGAATATAGGTAGGTACGATACAAAAGCAGAAAAACGGTTTTTAAAACTATTAAGAGTAATTGTACACGGTAAAGCCACTATAGCTTAATTCTTCATCCCAAATAAAACCTTTTAAAGTTTGTGTTCTAATTATAAGTTTAAATACTAATAACTAATCAACTTGTGTATTTTGACTAAGTGACCCTTCAGCGATTCTTTGTAGGCAAACTTTTTCTCACAAATACTACAATCAAATTTTGGTATCACTCCGCATTCATATTTTAAATGTCTTGCAACGTATTGTTTCCTTTTGTAAGTCCTGCCACACATATTTGGACATTCGAATCTCTTGTCAAATGACCAATCTGCAAATAAATTAGGCAAATACATAATACAATAATTATATTAAATTTGTATGTTTATTAGCATTTTTTTAATATGTAAAGATACTCGTATCTCTCAGTTATAATTAAGTTTTGTATTATTAAGCAATTACAATTATTGCTAAGCTAATATCTCTTGGTATATTATTTGTACCAAGTATTTACAATTTTACATATATGTGTACATATAGGTCAGGGGCGGGTCTGAAGCTAGTTTAAGAAGGAGGAGAGTAGGAATATTTTTGAGTGATATATAAAGTACAATGAAGACTTAATCTTAATTTATTCAAGCAATTTATGAAAAAATAAGTACGACTCTTATATGTTATAATTAATCGTATGTACCTTTATTTAATTATAGTATAGCAAAAAAATGTCATTATCCATTCAAAAATATTAATTGCAATTTACAATAACAATTAATTTTTTTTTTCATTTGCAAACCTATTGATACATTTTTTTATATTTACAACAATGTCCTTAAGTATGTACATAAAACCTAATCCAGTTAATCTACTTTCACCCGATCTTAACCATGTTTTTAATCTACAAACTAAAAACAATAAGAAATAAGAAAATATAGAGGCCATTCTGGAATTTGGATGCAGATGTTTTCATCCTTGTATATTAATAAACTAGATTTTATTTTTATCATTAAGATTCATGTATGAATTTATCATTTATGTTTGATTGTGTGTTTGACACAACTAAGATATAATAGATATAATAATATAATATGTCTTAGTCTGTGGTGTTTGATTATGGCTATTATATCACAACTATTAATTATTATCAGCTACCTATACAAAGTTTTAAAATTAACTAATTAACATTTTTTTTTTTATTTCAAGGGAGGAGGGTAATCGCATTGTCACCCCATCCCCTAAATATGCCCTAGTTGTAGGTACAGATAATTAGAGAAATTAAATAAGACACAAGCATTAAAACCATTATATTAAGGAAGTAAATAGTTAAAACTTATGCCCACTAAACTATCATACATTTTATAAAAGGTACTAGTAAGTTCTAAGTAAATTTGAATTCACATAAATAGTTTTATTCATGACTAAAATATGCAATGTATCAGTAGCGACTAAACAAAAATGATTACCTTTTTGATACTAGAAGTCTAGAACAACCATATTAAAAAATAACAACAATAGTTAAATTAAATTGAATAAATCTGAAAAAAAGAGGGGAAATGGCTAAGGAGTCTTAAGAAGTAACTTTAATGAATGTGTTAAGTTTGAATTCAACAATATAAAAAAATCACTGTTTTCCAAAAAAACGATTTTTAAAGAAGATGATCTGTCAGCTAATAGTATTAGATAGTATATCAATTTAAGATATTATTGTAACTAAAATGATATGTATTTTACTATTTGGCATTAGACATAAGTATTACAGTACCTTTTTTTATTTTCGTTTGAACCGACGGCGCCGCGGGAACTGCTTTCGCATTACTGCCGCGGACAAGTATTACAGACTTACATCGTTTAAATTAATTTTTTTGCCGAATTGTTATTATGTGTTTAAAATATAATAATAATTAATAGGTAGGTACTTCATAATAATATATTAAGTTTCAAGTACCCAAAAATAATATTGTTAAATTGCAACAAGAGAACTAAAATTGCTGTTCTTCATTTTATATTTAATGAAAAATTGAACTGTACATTTCTATCAAAAACTGTATTTATATATTTTTTAGATTTTTTTGTAACAATGTGAACTATGTATGAGAATACTTGTTTTAAATTTGTAATCCTTGACTAATACATTTTCAAATACTAGGTTTACTTTCCTACCAGAAAAGTTACTGAAGCTGAAATTAAAGAATCACACAAACACAAAAAACACACACATCATAGTAACATCAGTACATTCATCTCTCCACTAAATAAAACTTTTAATAATAAAATAATCACACTAATAAGTTATAAAGAATTTGACAGTAATTATATTGTTTATATTTCATTCAATTATTCAATCATAACATCAAATATGATCATGTAATATCATACATAATATATGCATAACGAGTAAGATACTGTTCTCATTTTCTTAAAGATGTATTTAAATTGTAGAACTAAATACAATTGTCAATAGTAAAAAGTAATATAAATATATAAATAAAGTATCAATTAATATCACCAATAGGTCAATAATAAAACTATTGAACTTAATCAATAATTACTAGGTAGATAATTAGTAAATAGTTACAATCTGAAAACATGAGAACATTTTACATTTTTTGGTTGAATAGCCTAGCTATTATTGTATCTTCCAAGTAATAGATATAAAAACAGCATATATTAAAACTATAAGGATGAGCCAAATTTCAATTTGTTCAAACTCAAATTCAAATTTATTTTCACTTTTTTGAACTTTCGAAATTAATATGTACCTAATATTATAATGTATTAATATCCATCTTAATTTTAAAAAAAGAATAAACCTACCCTGTCTTAGCTTTAACAATTTATAAAATTAATAATTATCATTCTTAGAGCACAACTTATAGTGTATAAAAAAAATATTATATTTATAAAAGTATCGATATTGATCTTCATTTTTCTCGAACTGTTCGAGTTCAAAGTAATCGATTTCTAGAATTAATATTAAACAAACTTTGAACCGTTCAGGGAGTTCGAGAGTTAAGTTCATTTAAATTCAATTCCGTCCCTAATTCAAATTAAACTTACAAATATAATATTACCTACTGTGGTTTCTTATTCACACATGCTGTACTCTTATAATAATAAATGGTATTTTTTTTAGTAAGATTAAATAAAATAATATAAAATATAGACTTTTAATAAATCTAATTATAACTGTAAATATTACATATCTATAAGTATATACCTACGTGATGGTAACACGTTAAAAACAAATTTAATTATTTGATTAAATAGAAAATATCAAGTCTTTTAACACAATTCAATTCAAATAACAATTTTGTTTAAAAAATAAAACATTTTGTACTATATTTGATGAATTTAAGTATATTCAATAACTTATAACCAGAGAGCACCGTACATTTTTTTAGCTAAAAGTTCATATTAAAAAATAAATCTATATTATATTTACTCTAAAACATAATATTTCATTTCATTTTCGATGATAAATTTCAGGAATCGGGCAGTGAACGATATAAATCGCAAATTTGATCTTATATCACTCGATAATACTATGCACTGACAAAAGATGACATTTCAGATGTACTTTTTGTTTAAATTGCTTTAAACATAGAGAACATTTGAACTGTCTGGGTACACCACATTCATAGAACAAGTGTCGTTTCAAGTGCGACTTCCTAGCCACACCCACGTATCGTCGACCACACATGTTAGGACAAACAGCCGGGTCTTGTTTGCAGGATTCTTCTAGTTTGACTAACTTCCAACATATCATATCTAACATAATAAATAATAACAATTAGTTTTATTTAGTAAAATAAATTGATAAGAGTAACCGTCAGATGTTAATGCCACAATGAAAAGTGGCATCCACGTTTGTAGAAAAGCAGTGTTAATGTTATAATATTGCGAGTATAAATGAAAAATTAATTTTATTTTATTGCTATTAATTATTATAAGTTATATTTATAATAAACTTTAACTTTTAGACTTGCAAACAAAGCTAACCCATAATAAGAAGGATACGGATACACCATGGCATATACAAATATACAATACGTCAAGACATATGCATAGACAATAGACATATTAAAATACCATAATTAATATAATTAGTAGTTAATCATCGAAATATTAGTTTATCTGTTGTAAATCATCATATACATGTGTACCATTATAATTTGTATTATAATATTGCTCTAAATAAGTAATAACCTATTTATGTAGGTATGACATATTATAATAAAGGTATTTAATATTTTAATCGTCTTTATAATCATCTGTATCATAGAATTAATATAATAACGAACACCACTAAAGTAAAATTATGTTTGAAGACTTTATTTTTATACGAGCTTTTAACAAAAGTTATAACTTCATAACAAAATTCTCATTTAATACTGATAAAATACAGATGATAAAATAAAAAAATTAAAAATTATATACACTTAAAGAAAATAAATAAATAAATAATAAATCCTAATTATATCGTGAAATAATAAATTGTGCTTAATTAATATAATAATAAAATCGAAGACCATTTTATAAAGATGCTATAAAAGTACAATAGTAACGTATTTTAATGACTGTGACGGGACTGAAAAAACCAGACAAAAAATTCTGAGACTCATTATTTTTCATCTGAAAGGAGTATGGAAATATTTGGGCGCTAAGCTCCCCCTAGTAACGCTTATGCAGTGATATAGAAATAACATTTGATTATGGGATATTTTATTTCTATGTCATAGCGATAACAAGGAAAGGAGAGGGGTTAATTAACGTATAGTAAGATTTAACAGAGACGCGAAATCAACAGTGACATACGATGATTAAGTCAGGAGAGGAGGTGAGTTGAAAAGAGGCACTGTGTGTTTTTGTTTATTAGGACTGTGATGGCGCAAGAGAAAAGACTTATAGTTTGGACATCCCTTGAATTTACATGTGCTGATCACAAATGACGCTCTGTCCTGGGTTTTTCTCTCTTTGATAGGTACCTACAGTTATCTGAAAGGTGATTTTCCACTTAGGTAGCGGGGAGCATGATTACAATAGTTTTTTTAAGTGTATCTGACTTGAAGGTTGTGACATTATGGTGGACCATTCCTGGTTTATTTATTTATTTCACTATTACTAATGTGACGATAAGTTGAGTACTTCCTTAATGTTGATGTAGAGATTGAGGTTTGCAATACAGAGAGGTAGGTGATGTCCGTTTTTATAAATATTCACAACGAGTTGAGCTTTGTAAATATTGGTGATAAGAGTTTGTATGGTAGGTGCTGTATGATGTGTATGTACACGTGGCCGAAGATGGATTTACAATTCAAGCATCCAGAAAAAAAGGGGATAATCAAAAATGAAGATATAAAATTACAAGTGAATCAATTAGATTGCATTGGTAGATATAGGTGCCTAATAGTGCAGGTATTAATACCATTGGCCTATGACTTTGCTTAGGTATTTTAATGTATTTTTTAATACGCTGTAGTCGGTTATATTGCTAGTAATCCATAGTATAGATTTGAGGCGCTTGACAGTTGTCAATTTGCTTGTTAATAAAAGGTTTTTCAACACCAACCGATATAAAGCACAGTCGATTAAAATACTACTGCATGAACCCTCATCAGTCATCCACCACCAACGCGGTGAATTGATTCGTTGAGCAGAATGACTTGGATGTTTGGATTTGGAGATTCAGAAACAAGAAAAAGCTACTTCAGATTGGGGCGCACTGCTTCATTCTTATTGATGCTATAAGCGAGGCTTAATATTGTTTATATTGAAAATAGAGAACGTGCTGAGTGTTATCCCTATATATATATATACGTAACACGATCACCAAGCGAGCATATTCGAATGACGGGTGTAGTGGGCCAACACGGAACTTTTATTGTTTAGGTTTTGTTTGGAACTATAACTTATTATTAAATAATATAAACAAGTGTATTGTGTATATATTATGTAATCTATACATACCTATGTTCAAGAATAAATGTAGGACATTTCAACATTTGCAGGATAGCCGTGTAGTCGTCAATTTGAATTGGTATTTGAAGCTAAATTATCTCATATAACTATAAATAGAGCCACATTGAGATTTATTGGGGGGTTTAATGTTCCTGTTAATACTGACGCTAAACCAATTTTAGCGGTCGGCAGACGAAGAAAAATATTCGTATAAAAACCCGAATTAGCACTGTAGCACATAAGGTGGCGGGAAGGTCGCGGATATACGCTACTTTCAGCCGTCGGGAAAAGACAAAAAAATGCCAGCGGCACAGCTTACGATAAAATCGTTGGTCTGGATGAAGGGGAGGGAAGATATTGCCGGTTTGCGAATTATCTACTCCCGCCACACAGCGACGACAGCTTGAATGAGAGTGTAGAGGCGACAGACCGGGTCCGAGTTCGAACGGTTCCTATTCGAGTCTAAAATAAAAGTAGGGAATTTAAATCAAATTTAATTTTTGCTTCTAAACTTTGCTTAAACTTCTTGTACTTATGTATAGAACATTAAACTACTTGACAAGTATACTATACTGTGTATAACACAGCATGCGGGCTGCGTGACAAGTAACAACATCTCGCAATGATGTAGGCTATCTTTACCAAAAAATACAATAATCTATAAATAATAAATGTATATATAAACCCTAGTACCCTGCACTACCGTGAGGACGAGTAATCGAGTAATTAAAAAGCGCCCTCTATGTTGTTACGCTTTCCATACACTCATTGCTTGTCTAGTAGTATATAAGGTTTATGGTATAGAATAAAAACTCCTGAGTAAAGTTTTCTGTGGTTCAGACAACACAATGATATATCACGAACAGTGAATTTCATACATATTGAGAACATATCAGAAAAATGAAGAAATATAGGTCAACTTTAGGCTCTCCAAGAGAAATATGTCCATAAAAAGGAATGAAACGATTTTTTAACGACTCACAAACGACCATACATTACCCACCTACTTTTTGTCCATGTCCAGTTTACGCCCAATAGAATCTTAGATCGTGAATTGAGTTAATGAAATGGAAATTTAAATTTCAAAAAAGTGCATGTAGTGAATATGAGAGAATGAAGTGAACTTCTTTCAGAAAAAAAATGCAAAAAGCTGGTCCCTGGTCGGTACTTATTGACCATTACGCTATTGTATTGACCATGAGGGGCGATAATCTTTTTTTTTCATACTTTCTGTAAAAAAGTTTCACTTCTAAAATTTTACTCTCCTCCATACTCAGTCCATAACTTTATTTCTAAGGCGAACCCGACCAGGCCCGTTTGTAGTTATATGTACACCGTTTAAATTAGACATTTCACTATTGTTCTTGTATTATCTATTTATGTACAATTAAATAATATATGTTTTATTTTCGATCAACCAGAAATATTTTTTCATGGCCCGGCTCGTGCTGATCTCTAATTAGATAGGTATACCTAATTAAATTAATGATTATAAGTATATTAGTGTTAACTATTACGGTTGTTGAATAATGGTAAGTACCTACCAGTTGAACCAGTTAATCATTTAAATTTTTTTGATATAGGTAGGTAGGTATATTATACAATTTTAACACTTAATTATCTGATTATTGGATAATGGATAGTCTCATACTCTCAGGATTAAATATAAGTAGGTACGTTATTTGGAGGGTATGAATATATTGGATTAAGTCACTGAGTATAAATGTATAATTGTTATTTGTTTCCACCTACTCTGTCTATGGGTTCGATTGTAACACACCTAGAAATGCTTTACTATACTCTGCTATACGGTCTTGGAATAATAGTGATTTGGATTTCTTTACGATCTTAAAAAATATAAAGGTTAAAATCATTCATATTCACCTCAAATTACGTACCTATCTACTTTGGTGCCTACCCAAATAAATATACGTATATAAATTATAAAATATTTATTGACCTGTTACCTAACTTAATATATCGAATGTATACATGGTTATAAAAAAAAAACAAAACAAAAAAAATTGTTTATACAAATTGGCTATTATTGGTTAAATATTAAATTATTGTTTTCATAATAAATTTTTAATTACCTACGATGTAGTTTTTAGTTATTAATAAGGTAGGGTTATTCAAAAATGTTGTGTTTCTTTTGTTGATGTATTAACATTTCGTCTTTACGTTTGAATGGTCGAGAGCAAATAGGACATGAAAACTGTGGCGGTGTTTGACATTCGTACATCACATGTCTTTTCAGTACATATTTACGACTTTTTCCTTTATAACTACGTCCGCAGTCATTGGGACAAAACACAGGATCCAGAAGAGAGTCTTTATTGGTCGATTCAAGTAATTGCAGAAAATCTACGAAAACAAGATTAAATTCGAAATAATGAATTTTATGATATACATTAATTAGGTACGGCAAAAGTTATATTAATATTTTATTTTGTGACACATAAAGCACATAATATTATTATAACCAGCATTCCAAAGCAAGCCCGAATAAGAAATAGCAATATCAGAGAACAAATTATTATAATAATAACGTATAATAAAACATTTGGAAATAATACAAGTACATTGATTATTGATGAATTATGAATATGCTTTGTATTTTGAATATTAAATTATTCGATCAACAAATGCGAGTTTGGTGTTTAATTAATGTATGTGAGTTGAGGTGTGTTTTTCTGGCAAAACGTCTATAACAAATCAAGCAAATGAATTTTTTTGGAACTCCACATTCGTGTTTCAAGTGACGTTGCAAACTAGATTTCTTCCAATCACCACTATAATAGCGGCCACAGTTATTTGGACAATATAACAATTCCATTTTTCCTGAAAATAAAAAGCATATATAAAAGTAATTAGAATTATAGTTAAAACATATTAATTTTATAAAATAATATAGTTGGAATAAAATAATTAGCAATTAAAAAAACCTGTCAAGATCATACATGATGGACAATAATGCATAAACCAGAAAACGAGGTTGCAAACAAAGCATAATAGGAAGCATTAGGTAAATATTAAATCAAAAATATAAAATTACTACCCCGAATAAACATATAAATAAACTTATAATTAATATTTAGGTCAACCTATATTCAACTAGATAAAATAATGAAATATCATGTAATAGCTAAAGTAATGAATTAAGCCTTACAAAACTTTAATCATTAGTTTTGACAACAAAGGCACAAAGCACGGTATATTTATATACTAAAATAATTAAACCAATGGATAATAATGGGTAGACAAATATTAAAAAATCAAATAAAAAACTTGGGAATATATTTTTGTTTAGACTTTAGTTTTACTTTACTTTATTTAATTTTACTTAAATCATAGACTAAAATGTAATATTAGATTATACCATTTTATCTGTATTTAAATAGTTTGGTATTAAATTACTGTCCACAATTAGAGAAAACCAAGCTAATACAGAGAAGGATTTGGATATATATTTGGCTTGGAAAATATTATGTTTAAGGTAATTTTAAATACACTTTTACCAAAAATAAAACTAACGATGCTAACCCAATAAATTTAATAATTTACAATTATACTTTTTAATAATCTTTTGATATTATAATTTAGAAATAGGTATTTACTAGGTACTCAAATTCTCAATTATTGTGTTCCCTAATTAGAAAACCCTTTAAGAGTGTCCATGAGTTCTTAAGAGAAATCAAGAGAATCTGGATAAGAAGCAAAACAAATTTAATAATATTAATAAAAACACATTATTGTCTTATTAGTTTTGAAAATGTTATTATTATTATCAACTAAAAACCTGGGAAGCTTCTATCGAGCTGTCAATACTTTACAACTAAACGATTAACTAATAATATAATTATATGGAATTCATTTTATTTGACATTGGTTTTATGAGTGTAGGATCCAGATAGGCAACAAAAAAAACTCTATATATTTATCAAATGGGATGAAAAGATATAATATTTTGTAGCTGTACCACATATTTAATTGTAATTAATATTTCTTATTTTTAATACAAATAAATAATTGAAGCAATGTGGCATGTCAGAGTGGGTTTATACTTGATCAGTAACCTACAATTATTTACTTTGCCTGTAATATCATTAAAAATTGGTATAGATTATATATAAATATTTTTCATAAAAATTATTTTGTGATAAATAAAAATATTTAAAACCACAAATAAAATAATATAAAGTTATTCTCATATTTACTTATTTCCATAATTATATGAATAACAATTAAATTGTTGATTATAAACATATGATTTGCAATTTTAATGTAATATAATACATTTTATAAATTACTATTTAATAGTAATATTATAATCTTACAAAAAACAAAAATTTATTAGTCAAGTCAGGGGCGCCATTTTAGGAAAGTAAAACGAGATCATTTATTAGGTGGTGGAACTTAGTAGTTAATAAGAGCGTTTTCTTACTTTACTTGATGTTTTAACTTTTACCCAATACTATTTTGGTTACAAGTAATATTTGTAATTAGTTTTTGATTTTTTAAAAAACAATAATTACAATATTTTCATTAAACTCAAAATGCTGTTAGTTGTCATTATTTTTATGATAGGTTGTGACAAACATTTCATATATATAGTTCTTAACATTATCATTTTTAAGTAAAACAGCTTAGTACTCCCCGTTCTATCCTATTGAAAAGTGTAAAAAAAAAAAATTAGCTGACTAGTAACACCGTTATCGAATTACTTAGTATCTGAAATGGCGCCCATGAATTAAAAATATGATACACAACAATATAAAAAATAAGAATATTTTTAAATGGTCAATTTTCAATTCTAAATTCTACAGAAATACTTTAGTTGTAGGTATACAAACACAAATATAATTATGTTTCTTTAAAATATTATTTATAATATTAAATATTCACAAAAACACTTTATGAACAACATATATGTGTGTTTTTAAATTCCATTTTTGTGCGAATCGCTTATGACATATCATGCATTGAAATCTACGAGGCACGCCGCACTCATGAGTTAAATGTCTTTTGAGTAATTGCTTTCTGTACTGGCCTTTGTATTTGCGACCACAATGGTTTGGACATATAGCCGGATCAGACTTGCATATCTCATCTAACTGACACCACTCGGTGGCTGTAAAAATGAAAACTTGCAATATGTTAAATGAAAAAGATTGACAGATTTTTAAAAAGCAAAAAGTAATTTTTAAACGCGGTTATAACCATAATGAAGCGAAAGGAAACAAATATTACAAATAATAATAAAAACAATTTAAATAGTTGTATACATCTAAGAAAATTCAAATTTGTAAAACTAAATATAAGTAAAAAATATGAGTATTTTTTATAAAATAGTCAACTGCTATAGTTATTTTGTAGTATGTTATGCATATATTTTGTATGAAAAAATATTATATTCAAGATTGGCAAATATGACCTGTAATCAATTATTAAATTTATTTACATAAATAAATCAGTAGAGACAATATACAAAGGTATTTATACATTATTATAATATTCTATATTTGTTAAATCAACTGCCTATGAACAATGGCCATGTGTTTTTTTAATGAATAATTTTGTGCAAATTCCTTCTGACATTTGGAACATTGAAATTGCTTAGGAACGCCACATTCGTACATCAAATGTCGTTTTAATAATTTTTTTCGATACATTCCTTTGTATTTCCTCGTGCAATTGAAGTTTGGACATATGGCAGGGTTTAACATAGAAATAGTATCCAGTTTAGTCATCCAGTATGAATTTGTAACAGCTAGAAAAAAATAGTAATTTTGTTTTATTTTTTAATTTTAATCATAAGATAAAATTTATATACCTACGCCATCTATAAGCATAAACACATGATTAATTGGTTCTGGATATAAGTGGAAGTAAAATTATTTTTATGGGTAATTATTGATTAAAAAAATTTCTATAGTACCAATACCTACTTATTATATTTATTAGTTATTTGTACTATGTATTCTACTGTGTTATATAATATATACCTAACTATTAATTATATAAATAATACCTATTTCATAACGAATACTCAAATAATCAGAGGCTATATCCCTCCTCCCAAATATCATTTGTATTTTGTTCAATACAGAGTGATCCATTTAAGAGGGTCCACTAATTATTTCAAAAAGTACTAACTTTTTTTGAATTTTTTTTAAAAAACTTTTAGATTTGTGTTTTACTAAAACCTTAAAATATTTAATTTTTTTAAAATTATTATGTTTATTAGTGAGACCACTAACAAATTTTGATTTTCAAATAATTAAATACAATAAAAAGGTCATAAATTGATAAAACTATTTTTTTTATGAATTTTTGGGTTAAAATTTTTGTTTATTGTTATTAGGTTTACAAGATACAGTTCCTCAAAGTTTGGTGGTTTAAAGAGGTGTTAAAGTCGGTAATGCTACAAATATTTTGTTATCCAAATAACCAGTTTTTTATTAATCATTTGTCGTAATTTGATGTGTCTAATTAGTCGATAGGTTAATACATGATTTAGTACAATAGTTATCACTAATTAATTGTTACCTTGGGTTGAACAGTATCGAATTTATCACTTATAGCTTTTGGTCTTTACAAATGAATAAATAGTATAATCAACACTTTATTAAACCACTTAATTTTGAAGAGCTGTATCTCGCAAATGAAATGATGAAAAATAAAAATTGTTATACTAATATTCATAAATAAAATGGTTTTATTAATTTATGACCTTTTTTTAACATATGTTTCCATTTGAAATCAAAAGTTGATAATTGTTTCATCAATAAACATAAAGATTAAAAAAAAATTAAAATATTTTAAGGTTTAAGGCTGGGGCTATACACGGCGGATTCCGCTGCGTTTCGAACGCCGCGTATCCCGCTGAGTTTTCCGACGGACAAGCTATACAGAACGTATCCGTCGAACGTTTTTATTACTTCGGCGTTCGTCCGCCAAAACGCAAGCCGACCGGCGTTTTCCGCCGCGGATGAAAACGCGGCGTATTACATCCGTCGTGTATAGCTACTCGGATATAAATTAATACATTTGGAATTTGACGGAAAACGCCACGAAATACGCGGCGTACGAAACGCGGCGGAATCCGCCGTGTATAGCTTCAGCCTTTAGTAAAGCATAAATCTAAGTTAAAAAAAAAAATTCAAAAAAAGTTAATATTTTTTGGTAATTAGTTTACCTTCTTAAATGGATCATCCTGTATATTAGGTCCATTATAACAGCTTCAAATTCGAACTTACTCAATGGGTTTTAAATTGTTGTATGGAAATCATTTTGGGTGGAAAATTTTAAAATAGAATAACTGTTTTCAAAGAAACTTATATGTTACACCCGTAAAAAATATTGCATTTTTAGGTCTTATAGGTGTTGGTAATAATAAGCCATAAAAATAAAATTTGAAAGTATATTTCATATTTTTATTTTTATGTGTTAATTAAAATATTTTAGATTTCAATTATGTTTTGAAAAAAATTTAAATTTACTTATATAGACTAAAATCAAAAATTGGAACTCAGAAAATCATACATCAAAAATTGATACCTATAAAAAAAATAACCATTCAACATTTTTAATCACCAACTAAAATTGAAATCAAAATTAAACTATATTCTTAATAGATGATGAGGAAAAATCCATACAAATATAACTACACAACTTTCTATTATAATTCATTATTTTAATTTGTTTGTATACCTGATTAATGTTAACATAATAACAAACAATAGTATATAATAAATTTTAAATTATGTTCAATCCGTTAATATTTTAATAAATAAGTAATAATATAATGTATTAGCTAGAGGAAGTTAAAAAAGGGTACATATTTTTCTATTCAGATATTGTATATAATTACAAATATGTATCATGATGATTACAGGATCTTTAAATGAACTTTTTTTTAATGGAATACACTGTTAAAATGTATAATGTTAACACACTTTAATATTATTTACATTAACGATTGATATAACTATTTGAAACATTATTAACTAATGACTACTTTGTGTACTAATATCATATGTTTTTTCAAAGACCACTTTTGTGAAAAACGTTTACAACAAACAGTACATAAAAATCTTTTGGGTACACCGCACTCGGTATCTAAATGTCGTTTTAAATGACCCCTCCGTTGCTCTCCTCTATAACAGCGACCACATTGATTTGGACAATACACTGGATCAGATTTTGATATTTCATACAGCAAATGTAGCCATTTTTTTGATCCTAAAATTATAAAAATGATTGTATTTATTCTTGAATATATTTACATCAGTGGTGTACACACTTGTGTTATGAAATAATAAGTTAGTTCCAAACAAAAGCTAATGAAAAATAAACAAATGAGGCTCGTGTCATAACTGAATGCAATTAATTGGTTTATAGACATTTTCCACTCTCCGCCTCTCTAGACTTAACCATAGTATAATTGTGTATGGCACTGTTGATTCTGACTACGTAATATACTAATATAGTAATATTCATAACAAAATACATTTATTGTATTCTGTTATGGCGATAGAAAAATACCTAATAATTTCATAAATGAAACATTGTTATACACAATTTTTTTTCTGATCTCACTTAATGAATCCTCTTCTTTCCCTACTTATCACTGTAATACATAAAAAATGAAATATTGCCTAACCTAACATTATTTTTATACCTGTACACTTATCTCAATTGATTAGTCTTCAGTTGTATACCTAATATATAATATAAATAACACACAATTTCTCATTTCTCATTATAGATACCTAATTATGATCAATTTAATATGAATATCATTTATATTACGATATCATATATTTACATAATTCATTATTACATGAGTAAATGTTGAATTAAAGTAACTTTTTTTGTAAACTTTTAACATTATTCTTTCCTGATAACAACTTAACACTAATTTTCACTTAAAAAATGTTAATTTTTCTGAGCAGGACTTCGGTCATGCTCAAATAGTACAATACTACCCGTAGCACTATTAGGGGGGCACAAAGGATTTTTTTTAGGGAGGCCTAAATAGAATTATTAGAAAAAAATAATAACCATAGAAATATTTATTACGTATATTACACCAAACATAAACATAGTAAGGAATATGTATTAATACTAGGATGTACCTATACAAAGACAGCGATGAATTAGGTGATCAAAAGTTATATTTTTATTACAAAAAGTATGTATGCAGATTAGTATAAGTAGTAGGTATATACTTAACATAAACAGTATAGAAGTATATTATGTACAGTAGACAATGGTAGTAAAATGCAGAAAAGTAATAATACAATGTAGCTGTATTTTATCACTTTGAATAGGTATGTAATTAACTAGTACAATTACAAATCATCAAAATCCATCTTACAAACATATTAGTGAGAAGAAAACATTTTGATATACTGTAAGTTATGGATTAAGTTGGCACAAGAAATAAAACGTACTATTTAAATCAGGGATCACCAACCAGACAATCTTTAGAGGAATATTGGTAGATCTTATTAAAAACTAACCATACTAATATATGCTTATTACAGCCTTAAACATACCTTTATGCTTTATTTACAAAGTAAAGGAATTATTAGTGAAGAAAAACATACATAGAATTGGAGAAATAATTAAAGAAGAATATTATTGTACAATTTATTAATAAGCTACAAGTAATAATATAAATAGTATACCCAAACAAATAGTGGTAATCACCAGATACCTAACAATTTTCATGTGGGTCACTTGTTAGAAAAGATTGGCAACCTCTGATTGAAACTAACAAATACAAAGATATTTTTAGAATTAATAATTACATCAATAACAAAAAAAATTTAACATAATAATATAATTTTCTATATTTGATAAACTACAGTTGCAATTTTCATTTTTAAACAAAAAACATTTATTCTAGTTCTAATGGCTTTAGTTACAATAAAATATTCAAGGGCCCGGTGTCAATTTTTTAAAGTTTCCGTATTGCTATATTATTTTCAAAATAATATTTTATACTTTAGTACCAACCTTAAGAGTTATAATAATTTTCCATTAACCTACTGTCTGATACCTATTTAGAAGGAGGGGGGAATTAAGTGCAGTCATTATTTTAGTAAAAGTGCTTTCTCATAGGAAAAACTCTCAAGCCTTGTTAAATCGTCGGATTTTGATGATTGTTATTTTATCTCAAAAAAATAAGACATTCTACAGTCCACATTGAACTTTGCTTAAAATTGTCTTTTTTATTATTATTATTACATATTTTAAACTTTGAGATGAAAATATTGAAAAACGTAGTTCAATGTGGGCTATGGAATATTTCTCTCAATTAAATAATAATCAAATTGAGTCCGGCTCATCATCCAAAACAGGATCATTATTCTTATAGACTTAATGGTGTGGAGTGTATTTTTGAGGTTAAAATCACATAAGCACCAGCAGTCTGTCAATACATAATTTAACATCTCATCAAAATGCCCAAGATATTTTTATTAGGTACTTATAGTATTTATTTACATAGGTTATAGGTATTTATGAAATGTTTAACTGTCAAATAATAAAAACACAAATATGCCATTAATACTCTTGCAACAGCCTGTTATAAAATTAAATAAATACATCATTTTCTAAATTCTCTATTTCCAAAATTCACCCAAAGAGTAGTAAGGGTTTGTTAATTCATCATAACAGACACCATTTCGAGGTACCGGAACTTGCTTATGAACCATTATTAAATGAGATTTTAATGTATCATTCTGTGCAAAACGTTTAAAACACAAATGACATAGGAATTTTTTTGGCACACCACACTCATCGGTTAAATGACGTTTGAGATGACATTTTCTCCTTAAGCCTTTATATTTTCGACCACACATATTTGGACAAATTGCTGGATCATTTATGGATAATTTGCTTAATTGAGATAACCACTTGTGTCTTAATTCTAAAAATAACAAAAACTATTATAAATAAAATAATTAAAATCAAATAAACAAACAATATAAAATTAGAATACAACAAGTTGCAAACATTGTATTATTAAAAGCATTTCAGTTCTCATTATTTAGAGTCATTACATACTGATTTATACTTTTATATACTGCATAATACGTACTGCGAAAACCATATTAACTGAGCATGAACAAGCCTTGGATTTGCCTTTTTAGGAAATATTGATGTGTTATAATGTAACAGACTATTTATGTTAATAGGAATTAAAAATTGTGTAATGTGGAAACTGTAATTAGATGTAATATAACCACAGACAGGTAGTAATCAGTATACCATAAATACAATTTATGTAATCAAGTTGCAATTATAACTTGCAACTGGTGATAATTCACAATTCCACAAAATTGTTAAACCATGAAGATTTATGTATTATCCAGTGAGATACCACTCCGCGACTCGGCCAAAATCAGTTCTTCTACTCGAATTCAATGCGACACCCTGCTTTATTGCAATTTGTCTCGATGGTAAGGGATCGAGTAGAGACTGGGGATGTTCTGAATTGGAGTGCTTTTTTGATGGACAGACTTATAACATGTATATTATGTGCACAAACTTAAATAGGGTCCTCAAATGCTTTGAGCCTAAGAGGTTTCAAGAACAAAGGGAATGGGGATTTGTCATCACACACTACATACACACAGTGGCGCACAGAGGTATTTTGACAGCACATGCAACTAACAAAAGTTACCCACCCACACACCCAATTTTTTATTTAAAAAAACGTTCTTTTGAACTGTTACTAACAGTTAACCTATACTTTATCTAGGTACCTATATCCATAGGCGTCTATACCTACCCACCCACCCACCCACCTCCCACGAGAGCACATACAGTTGCACCCCTTGCTAACCTATCTGGGCGCCACTGCATACACACAATTTCATCTATAATACAATTCAAAACACTCACAAATTAAATACATTAATCTATAGTATGATATTTTTCTTGAGTGTATTATATTATTAACTGTATATAACTTTTAAATAACTTGACTAGTTGAGATATAAATAATACTAATAGATTCCTTGAGCAAGTTTACAGCATATTTTCAAAGCTTTAAAACTTAAGCATAGATAATGTTCTTGTGCTTAAATTTGATAATAGGTCAGTTCACACTAATGCTGAAGGATTTTGCTGAAAATTGAAAATGCTGGACAAAAAAATTGTTAAATTGCAAGTTTGTAAAATATATACATTGCATGAAGGTGTTACGTACTCTTAATGAACATGGAGAATAAAAAGAGGAACTTAACACAATATTATAGTGATAGTACTAAGTACCTTCTTAACAATATTGACTCAAATAAATAACACGGAAATTTAAGTACGTACAATTTAAAAATAAAATAAAATGTATAAATAACAATATAATTTTAAAGTATTAATACATTTATAATTATAAATAAAGAATATTAATGTAAAATATTGGGATAAGGTTTTCCTGTATGACTACACAACAGAAAATCAAAAATAATGATACATATTAATACAATTCTATAGCAATACTCTAACAAACAATATAACAATACAAACACTTTTGATTAAAGGTTGATTTCATAATGAAATCATTTAAATAAACTGAAATTATATTAAAATAAATCTACATAAACCATCAAGCTAGAAGAACATAAATGTAAGGGGGAACATATGAAATCATGTTATTATAATTATTCAATTGCTCAATTTCATTTATTTTTACTACAGAATTTTTAAGCAAAATTGTTTAAATTTAAGTATGTTAATTTGAAAAAATATTATGGTTATTATACAGCAGTATATTCTTTGTACAAATATTATAATGTTTTTGGAGAGATACATTATAAGAAAACTTCTTAAGACACAATTCACAATTAAATTTCTTTGGTACACCACACTCGTAAATTAAATGTCTTTTGAGGTGTGCTTTTCTACTTTTTCCTTTATACTTATGACCACATTTATTTGGGCAAATTGCAGGATCCGTTTCTGATAATATTTTCAATGCATCAATGTTCAGCCATTTGGAATTAATTTCTGAAAAAAAAAACAATTAACTAAGTAGGTATTAAGTTAAACAATGGTAAAAAAATAGTTACATTAATAATTTTATTGATGTTAATTATTAAAACATAGGTGAAGTTATAGAAATATTATTTTAAATATTATTCTATGGAAAACACCCTTATAAAAACACATTAATGAATAAAAAATATTAGGTACTCAATATTTTTCCTCATTATTTTCAAAACAAAATTTCTTAATCTTAACATTATAATAATAAACTAAAACAATATAAGAGTAGCCTATCCAGTTAGAGATGCAAAGTGATTACTGATTCCACAAATATTAAAAAGTAATATTATAACCAAAAAAAAGAAATATTAAAAACAATATTTTTACTAATAACATATTTTATGTTAGAATAATTTGTCAAAAAATAGTTAAATAAAATAGTACTCAGAGACCACAAAGAAGGTTAAGACACGAAGGACACATGACATCAAACTTTATTTTTATGTTATTAATGTTTGTTTGTAAATGAAAGACACATTTTTTTTTGTACCCTTATAAATATCATAGCTCAACTACATAATTAATTATATTATACGGTTTACTGTACAATGGTTTTTACTTTTCATACACTTCAAATTTGTAGGTATGTAAGCAGCACTGTTACTACATAAAATACCATAAAATAAATATACTAAATTAGTTATTTTACCAATCAATAACTTATTATTGCCTGTTAAAAAGAATATGTAGGTAATTATTAAAAAATATAATTTTCATATTCTTTGAAACTTGCAAGATAAATATATTATGTTTATTTCAAACAACATATGAAAAATTAAAAAACAACAAAAGGTGCAACTGTTTTTAATCACTGGTATATTTAATCATAAACAGCACTTAAATATGACAATATGTAAAAATAATTACGATTAAAAAATTAATATTCCTTATGCTATCAAATAACAAGGAAAACATAAAAAAAACTTATAAAAATTATAAAATGCATATCTTAATGAAATTAAAAAATATATGTGTACATGAATAATAATTTACTTGAATTAACTCCAAAACTATTATTCTGATGAATTTCTAAATAAATTTAAACACAGTCAACAACTTAAATTATTGAAAAAGTTATTAAAAATACATGCATTTAAGTTCTAAATCAAGCAAGAAAGCTTGGAGTAGTAATTGTTAAATAAGTCTTCCATGTCATTGACCCATACGGGAAAAAAGGAAGCTCTAAAAATTAATAATATGTTCTGTAAAAATGATTTCTTCTAATAATATTTAGAGTTTGACATATATTTAAAATCCAATAACATTGTAATAAACCAACACAGTTAGGTAAGTATAAATTATAATTTTAATTTGTGTTAAAATAAGAACTATACTTATTATGGTGTAGACTGACTGATTGACTGATAAATTTAGAATCTAATGATCCTTCGTATCACCATGTATGGGTACAACTCAAGCAAAGGATTTTCTAAAATTCCCAATTTAAAGAGGAACTTATACAAGGATTTTAAGATTCACAGTGGATATCTAAAATTATTATTTTTGTTTATAAATGGTTGCCAATGATTACATAAAATAAAATATAAGTTTAACTATCTATTTATGTACATACAAATAAATGCTAGTCTGCCTTTTTGTAATTAATAAACTCAAAAACTACTAGACCATTTTCAATAAAGGTTATATCAATAGATTCCTGGAGACTTGGAGCATGTTATAGCTTATTTTCAACCATTATAATATGTACTAACTTCGAATAATCCAACATTTTCAGCTGTACAACCAGACTTTGCCCGTGAACAAATGAAAACAGTCAATATAGTGCTATAAAGGTATATATTTGTTTCAGTGTACTTCAGCTCATGGGAAAATCAACGTTTAGTGCACCTTGTTTTATGAACTAATTAGGCCAAGATCGACAAGTCACCTGTGGAGGATTAAATATAGCACTTGGTGTAAATTGAACATGGTTCAACCTATTCCCTAAAATGTCCTGATATTTCTATTAACAATTAGAAATGTTCACAAAATCAGGCTACTAGTTTTTTAGTATATACTCTACAAACATGCATCCACTCTCATATTTGCTTTAAGATCTAATTTCTTTATTTGGGGCCATAAACAGGATAATTTGATGAATGATTTTACCTTTTGTGCCTGAGTAACTTATGGCAACCATTAATAAGCAAAAAAAAAAATTTAGTTTCCATCATAAATCTCGAAATCCTTGAGAAACCAATTCTTTAAAATGCTGTACGAAGATACCCTGAGAACTTCAAGTCACCAGCTATCATAGTTTAGAGTTTTAGGCTCTAAATTGATCAGTCAATTAGTCAGTCAAAAAAGCACTTTCATTTTTCTAAGCAACTTTTCCAATTTTTCTTTCTGTAAAAACCTTATTTGAACCATTACGAAGATTTAAAACAATAATGAGCCAAATCATTCCAGCCTTTCTCAAGTGGTGAAATTACCAAGAACCAGCATTTAATTTTTATTATCGCATTATTTATATTGAAAAAAACCACATTTATTTTATAACATAGATAGGTATATAAAAGATTAACGACTAAAAATTGATTTTATGATGTATGAAAATAAAATATACACTTCTTGAACTTTACTTATAAAAATTAATATGAAAGACTTTAAATAAATAAATAAAAATGTATTGAGTAATGTCACATACGCAATAAATGAGAATAGTTAATTATCTATTTAGTAAGAAAAAAAATGACAATGTTGATAGAGTATTTGTATCCTGTTATGTTTTATGTATTATCACCATGTGTTTTTTTCTATCTGAATTATGAGTAAAACGCTTCAAACATACATCACATTGAAATTGTGGTTGTACACCACATTCATATCTCAAATGTCGTTTGATGTTTTTAGAACGATATCTTCCTCGATAACTGCGTCCGCACATATTAGGGCAAAATTCCATACCTTCACTATAAACCATGTCATCTAAAACTTTAAATAAATAAACATTATTAATATTTTAATAATTCAACTTCACAAGATATAAATAAATAATAAGATACAATTATAGAAGCAGCAAGGATTTATAAATACATTAGATTAGCTTCATTTAAAAAGTTAAGGAAATTAACTAACTGAAATTAAAAATTTGTTATCTTTGTATAAAACTAAAAATAACTTTAATTTATAAATTAATAATACGATTATAACTATTACAAGTTGTTAAAATGCTTCATTAATAAGTAAGAACCAATTAAGTCATCAATATAATTTTCAGTTGGGACATAATATAATCAAAAAGATAACTATACAGGATTACAATGTTGCAATGTTTATGTACCGAATTCAATCCTGATTAAGTTATTTACATATTGCAATATCTCCTAAAATAATGGAGATATCATAGTTCTGGTTTTTAATAAGACTCATTGGGACAAGTACTAAAAATATTTTATGTTTTAATTTATTTTAATATTTTGGTAAAAGAGTTAAAAAATATTTTATTTTTATTTTATTATTTTTAAAAAAATTCAAGGAAACCATTTTGTGCAGTTTTTTTTTTTTGAAAATATTGACATTTCAACCCATCATTAATCTTCTGGCTTTTAATATTATTTCTAGTTTAAAAAAAAATTGTGAATTATTTAATACCAAAGTATCAAACATATGGCTCATGCTCTAATGACAGGTAAACACTTCCAGTGAGGTCTGGAAATTTTCTCGAAACTAGAAAAAATACTAAAAATCAAGAGATTAATGAAAATACAATGTTGAAACATCAATATTTTCAGAAAAATGAACTCTACAAAATGGTTATCTTCATATTTTTCAAATTTTTTACCAAAATATTAAAATAAATTAAAACATGAAATATTTTTAGTTCTTGTCCTTCTGAGTCTTATTAAAAAACCAGAACAATGATATCTCCATTATTTAAAGAGATATCGCAATGGGTAAATCCCACAGGGCATAATGTATAGTTGTACAACAACTTCTCCTGCGGTCTAGTAACTATGTTGCATAATTATTTGTGCAGCTATTGCTTATAATTCCATAGGACAATATTACAATATTATAAAAGTAAAAGAATACATAAAAATATTATTTAAAAAGATGAAGGCAATTTATGTAATGATACTATTACATTTTTGTAACCATAAAATAAATATAAATATCTATAAAATATTTATATATATATATAGTCTATTCAGAATGAGATCAGTACAGGTGACAACCTACTACTCATGGGTATGGCATGTTTGCCTGTATCAATTTCATTTTGAACGGACTTTATATAATATTTATTTATAAATCTATATAATATTTTTGTATTTAATATATATATATATATATATAACCTGTACTTGGTAAATTCCTTAGTTCAAATTTCTATGACATGCTCAGCAAACTAAAATATGAAAGATTTTACTCATTAAAAAAAAACTCAGGCACATACATTACATATTTAGGATAGGAAATTGAACCACCAAACTCTTAGTATACATACCCAAACTTAAGCACAAGAAGATGCATGTACATTAAAAAAAATATTTTTAGTCTATAGGTTAAGTCCTGATTTCTTATGTTCCCCGACTATATTTTACGCCAAGGCCAGACTTTTTTATTGTATAAATAATTTTCCCATACATTTTATACTGTTAAATTTATTAATTCTGTGATGTTTCTTAAACTACACTTATAATTTATATACTTATAAGCTACTGTTTATCAAAAAGCCGAATATTGTAAATTATGTAGATAAACATTAAGTACATATAAACATTGTATGCAATAATTACATAAATATTACCATACATATAATAATAAAATATATATATAAATATAAATTAGGCTTTTATGTAATTTATATTATGAACATAGTACAAATTTAATTATATTCCTATTGTGTTCATTTGTTTATCATGACTTTTGTTCACATAATTAACATTAACTAATGTAAATTTCAATATATTCAATTTGGTTAAATCGGTTATAACTTGTAAGGTATAAGCAAAATAACAATGTTAATTATTGGTAAATTTAATTTTAGATAACTCAATATATTAATTCCTTATTTAGTTATTGATACTTGTTTATACAACAATAATAAAAAAAAATCAATTGTACTTATTACAGACATGTAAATTATAATTAAACTGAATCTGAAATAAAAACTACATATTATACAACTTAGTTACATTTACATTTGGTAAGATTTTGTGCACTGTTATCATATGTGTCTTGCGGTTTCCTTTCAAATGGAATTTCTTTAAGCAAATATTGCATTGAAATGTAGGTGCTTTTCCGCATTCATATCTAAGATGATTAGTTAAAACAGTTTTTCTATACTTTCCAGAATATTTTCGCCCACAATGATTAGGACAATCTACTGGATCTTGTTTTGAAATTTCCTTTAACATTTTTGTCATTAACTCTGAAAACGATTGAAAACGTTACTTTAAAATTATATTACCTATTTGATAACACTACAACACACACATTTTCAATCCAATATTTATTTTTCAACATAACATGTTAAAAAAATATGTACATATAATTTAACATAAAGTATAAAAGCAAATATAATACCAAACAATTTTCAACAAAAAGTTCATAAATGATCATGTAGAAGCATGAACTACTAGTGTAGTTCAGTACATCAATGGTTCTGCCAAATTAAGCTTATGTCTTTTTTTTTTTTTTAATGATATAAGAATCAGTTATGTATAATACGTTTTTAATAATGAGCTAACACAATACAAGTTACAAAATATGTTTTACTTAAGTGAACAATAAATACGGAAAACGTGGTTTTTAAATTTTTTTACAATTTTCTGCCAATTAAAAATAAAAGCATACATTTATTTTATTTTTTATTATGAGCTTATTCCACTCATCATAAGTAAGTTATAATCTAGAAACTGATTCATTATATTATACATGATAACTGATTTTTATTTTGTTATTTTATTGAGAATTTAACACTATTTCAATAGTTCAATACTTGGCTATTTGTTTTTGGAAGTTAAACAATAAGAAAAAAAATGTCAACCAGAAAACACTGTACAATTACAATTTTGGTAAATAACTAGCTGGCCATTTTTTACTCTAATTTTTGTTTTTTGTTATACCTATTATCTATTAACGCTCCGTAGTCTGAAACTAACTCCAATACTCAACCTTAAATATTTAGTATCTAAAGTGGAAAAATGTTGACTTGATACAGATTATAGGTTAGGTTATGTAATACATCAAATGTTATACAGTTCAACTACATATTTATGCATATAGTATTTTATGATACAATTTATTATTAATTTTTAATTTTGTTATTTATACTAAAATGATTAGCAATAGTAATTCACAATATAAATATAAATATATTAATTAATTAACTAAGAATTTACTCAAAAAAAAATATTTTAAAAGCATGCTTATTAAATTATTAGATATTTTAATTTTCTATATACATTTGTTTAGTGGTTGAAACATATAGTTGTATAGGTGTTTAACATTCATTAAATATCTATTATATACGATTAGATTAACGTCATCTAATACCTAAAAATCTATTACTGAAATTATTTAAATTAAATTACAGTTTATTTATATTATGATTTAAAAACATTATGAAACAATATAATTAAATTGAATTTATCATAGGTAAAATAAATTAATTTAACATCGGTTAGCAATCAGCATATTAAAAAAAAAAAATAAAGTTTTTCAAGTATGTAAATTATACAATACACTTACGTTTACTAATTTTACACGAAAGTTAAGAAAATAAATAAAATACATTTTAACTAAAAATGTACTTTTTATATTGAAACAAGAACTGCTAATTAAGTAATCAATCTTAGAATGATAACAACTCAACCATTGATTTTTATTGAATAATCCCATGAACAAGACCCAAATGTCCCTTTAAATGCGCCTTATGAACAAAGTTCCTATGACAGTATTCACATCTAAATTGACGCGGTACACCACATTCATACTTAAGATGCACTTTTAAATTAGATTTTCGGCTTTTTCCTTTATACTGACGGCCACATTGGTTTGGACATATAGCTGGATCATATAATGCTGCCATATCTAATCTCTCTGAACCTTTTACTGAAATAAAATAATAGATATTTAAGTTGTTAGATTGGTAATAAGAAAGTAGAAAAACAATATGAATTATATACAGATTCATTTTTTAATATTTTGAACATAAGAATTCAATATTTACCATGAATTTAAAATGAATGCAGTATATTATTATCATTATAATATTATTTAGCTTCACACAATTATTAATTTAAAAAGTAAATCAATATAATAAATGCTTAATAGATAAATACAGTGGATATCACCTATTATGACCATCAGCCTTTCGTTTATTACATACAATTTTAAAAAAAAAGTTGAATAATTTTAGTATTCTAAATTTTATCAGCAATAATAAGCATTTTTAAAATTTGCAATATAAAAATTAAAAATGTATTAATTGCCTCATCTTCTTCATTTTTATTAGAAATGTTATAACCAATATCTAGATCAGTTAATACAGCATTTCCCAACCTTTTTTCCTTGTGGCAAACTAATTCCAACCCATATTTTACTGAGGCACACTTGTCACTGACTTATATATGTGTACATATTTTTTTTATAGTAGGCTTTCATCAAATTAATTATTAATACCAAAGCAGTTGTATACCAGTTTATTGCTAGCAAATAATTTAAAATGGTGTGTTTATTTAGAATAGAAAAAAAATATTATTACAATTATCTTAAATATTACATTAATTAATTTCAACCAATTATCGAAATCTTTCATAAACATTTATTAATAATCGTGAAATTTTGCGGCATACCTATAATGGCCTCTGGTTAGGTTAGGTTAGGTTAGATTTCCCGCCGGTTGGGAAACACTGTCTTAATACTTCTATTAGTTGTATATTATATTGTACTAAAATATATTTTAAGTATATTGCAAACATAACCAATACATGTAATACGCCAATAATATCAGTATGTTCTATATAATGTTTTACTACCAATATGTCATTATAGCTGAGGTCATTCTAAAGTGATCAGTCTGTAAATATTTATAGATATTTAATTAAACTGTAATTACATCAAATATCTGTGGTTAAAGAATAACAAAAATAGTGAGTGCAATAATTTAATTAGTTACACATTTGGTGGCATTTTTTGATCGCCAAAGAGATAATTTGGAACCATTTTTCATGAATTAATTTTTCAGTACCTGTTCAGTTCAAGTACCTATCAAGTTGTAAACTTTATTGTGTAGATATTGAGTGATATCATATATTATAATAAACATTACAAACATGTATTTTATTTATGTCGTTGCAATGCAAAAAAAACATTTCTTGTTTTTTACATTAATTATATTCTTATATCATATAAATTGGTATCATACCAAAATAACTCAAGTATGAAAGGGTTGGAGAAAAGAATAAGTATTTTTTTAAATTTTTGAATCTGAATTAATTACTTAAGTATAAAACATAATTCTAAATTTTTAAACTTTTAAAAGTAATATTTTATTCTTAAACTATATAATAATAATAATAATAATAATATATATATATATCATATAATATATATATATATAATTATATTAACATATATAATTTATTCATATTCTATTACATACACCTATTCTAAACAGCAGTCTTGACACAAAAACAGAAAGTAACATCAGATGTTTTGTATAAATCTATAACAGAAGTATAAAACTGATTATTTTATTCAATAGTACTGAAATTCTAAAATATTTCAATATATTTGATTTGATAATTAGTTCATAAACAATAGCATGTATAAAAGATACAGTTTGTGATAAGTATTGACACTAATATTTCTAATGATCCATAAAACATGAATAGATGAATAGACGATCAGACTTTATCACCATAAGGATCATATTTCATAATCATAAGGATAATGTTTATTTTCAAAAAGCATTTAAAAAACAAATCAAATTTAATAAAATATTAAAAATTATTTTAATATAGGCATAAGAATCATAATGCACTGGCAAAGATCGCTGGAAGTCGCCTTATTAAATAAAATTAGTTTAACTTATTTTACATTAAAATATAATAAATTATCTTATGGTATATTAGGGCTAATACAGTTTTAATACTTGTTAAAACAAATAGATCTGTAACATTGAACTCAATATACAACCAAATATAAATTAGTTATAAAAAATAAATTGAATACAATAAATAAATATGTATGTAGCTAATATCTATAAACGAAATACACAGTTGTGATGGATTAGGACATTTAGCATCTCAGACATGTTTTTTATGTTTGAAAAAAAAGTATGTATATAATTTAAAGCATTAATAATAAAACATTTCTGTAAAAAAATTATATTTTATACAATTTTTAAAAATATTTTATTCTAAAGCACTAATTAACTGTACATTTGAATCACTTTAATTTCACAAATATTGGTAATTTATAAAATAAGCTTATTGTAGCAGCTTAGTATAGTACTATTATTTGAGTGTTATATATTTAGATGAGTGGAATTGAGTAGAAGGGGATAATTATATTGTAGGTTGGATATAACACTAATTATTATGAATAATCAATGTTTGTACAACAACATTTTGTATATGTGACGCATAATCAATCTCATATTAAAAAGTTGTTCTGAGTGGAAAACGGTTAATCCTGTACTTCTTGTAATTCTTAAGTTTTTTCAACAGACTTTATGTCCAATCTTTAGAAGCGCTAACTGGGAGTTGTAAATCATTTCTTCTACATAAAAAGGGCATTTGCAAAATAGATAGTTTAAAAAAAAAATATACGTAATTGCAAAATTAATACATTTCTAACTTCAAACAAAAATCTAAAATATACATGAATATAAATAGTCTTATAAACATACATTTCATATTTTTCAAATGGCATGTTTTTTGTAAAATATATAATAAAATATTAACATACCTAGAATTATTTTTAAAGAAGACAAAAATATTCTACATTATTATTTAACTATACTCTATACTACTAAATGAAGTTGCTTTCTTTTGTTCAGGATTAACTCCCAAACTACAATTATTCAATCGTCGTGCAGTTTTTTTTAAATTAAAGAGGACATCACAAAGAAGGTTTTAGGCATAAATGTAATCTGATAATGTTAATGAATAATTAGTTATTATTAATTAAAATAAACCTGTAAATTGTATACCTATACCTGTTTTAGTAAGAAATAGTCGCTGGCTGAAAATAAATAATAATCAAACTCGACAACCACAGATGCTTCTAGGCAGGTCGGTATCGACGTGGAATAATAAACAATAATTATAATTATTTATTTTAGTAAAAAAAAAATACAATTAATTTTATTTGATTATCTATTATTAGTAATTATAATTAATGGTGTTACATTAGTTATTGGTAGAAAATAACTAATGACTAATCTAATTTTCACAAATTACTTGCTAAGATGGTTGAGTTACACTTATAGCCACTCATTAGCTAATACACAGTCGAAATAAAAAATAAAATAAAAATAAAAAATATTATTCATATGGAGTATTTACCTAGCGTGGGGTACGATACTAATAGTATAATATCTATATCTACAATAATGCTATATAAAATTAAGTCGCTCTTTATTGTTCAGGATAAACTCCTAAACTACTTATTCAATCGTCGTGCAGTTTTTTTAAAAGTAAAGAGGACATCACAGAGAAGGTTAAGGCATAAATTTAGTCTGATAAAGTTAATAAGTAATTAGTTATTATTAATAAAAATAAATTTGTAAATTGTATACCTATTAAACATTTTGCGCGGCAGGTATTGTGCTCTCACGTTGTCTGACGACGATTTTGACTGTTATTTATTAATTGTTGATTGTTGGTTGGTTTAATCATTTGAAGGCGTACATTTGATTGAAGGTTATTACTAACGTACTACTCTCATTTTTGAAAATTTCTAGACGAAAGTAAAGCTACTTGTAAGCGATATAATTTTTTTTTTTACTTTACAAGGAATCAGTGGTGGTGACTCTAAATTTATATGGCTACATTACCATGGAGACGTGACTAAAAGTCGTTCAAAATAAAAATAATTATTTAACATCCAGAAAATAAATATTAAATTAATATCTGAGAAATCTTGCAATAGCGAAGCATTGCTGGGTCAGCTAGTTATTTAATAAAAATGTTGTCTTTAACTATTTTTTTATTTAATTTGTTGCCCTATGAATTTTTAGTCCTATAAAACCATTTCATTTTTTTTTATCATGGATTCATACAAACTTAGTTTATACATCATTTAATTTATAATCTTTTCCAATGACAATTTTGTGTTTGCATCCCATATGTGTCTTAAGAGTACATTTGTGTTTAAATGTTCGATTACAAATATTACATTTAAACATGCATGGTAATCCACATTCATAAACCAAGTGATTTCTAAGATTTGTTTTACGCCATTTTCCTTTATAGCTCCGACCACAATTTCGTGGACAATAAGCAGGATCATTTTGAACAAACTCGTTAATGCGAACCAATAATCCTAGAAAATAAAAATGACAATGTTTTAAGGATAATTTAAACAGATAAATTAAATCAAAAACCGGATCCATACAAAGCGCTAAGGTAATAAAAATAATAATTCAAGTTATTTGACTAATATAATATAATAAACTATAATTGTTTTAAAAATAAACTGTTTTATATGATTTATAAAATATTTCTTAATTCAAATTTGATTTGAAAACTGTGGAGTAGCTGGAATTTTGCAGTGTACAGACATGATATGCGTGTTCAGGTTAACTTTTTGGGCAAACATTTTTCCACATATGGTGCATTTAAATCGAGGCGGAACACCACATTCGTATTTAAGATGACGATTCATAGTAGCACGATGGTTATACGAACGTCCACAATTTCTAGGACATAAATATTTCAGTGGAAATGTGAATAACCGTCTAGAGTTAACTATAAAAAAAAAAAATTGTTAAGGTACTATGAAAGATTATGAAAATAAGCAATACAAATCTTAATTAGCGGGCTTATGTAAATAGGACAAACTTGTATACATCTATGGTAAAGTGATAAATGGGGAAATAACCGGGGTTAAAGGCATCCATGAATAATTTGAAATTTACTACATGGATATAAAATCATTCATAAGTCAAATCCTACAATGGCCAAAATCTATATAATATGCAGACTATAGTATCCATGTTTGGCATTGGCTGATGTATGCTTCAACACCGTCAATAGTTCAAACGATTAACCACATTGTTGTGAAAATCACACTAGTTATATAATAAAGTAAGTCCGTAATCTAAATGTCTATATGGTTAATAAGTAATATTACTCAAGTCATATTCATATATTAAATACGGATTTAGTCATAAAATTCATTATATCTCTATGAACTTGCATACAAAGTTTATATGTATATATATTATATATTATATTCATACAGAAACTTTAATTTATTTTATACTTCACACAGTGATACATAATTTTTTTTTCTCATTCAAGTTGTTTACTTGTTGTTTATTTCACCCAAAATCATATGATCATTTCACAACTTAAAACAATAATAAGTGCTGATTTGGTGAATGTAACTTTTATCATTTTCTTGTATCAGGTTTTATAGCATATTAAACAATGTTCTAAATTAATAACTGAATACTTTAATTAATTACTAAAATAAAATGATATCAGTTGATGATATTAATTGTACCTACTTGTACAAAATCAAAACTTAAACAATTATATAATATCATAAAATATATCACTATACAAACAAAGTACATGATTTCTAAAACAAACTAAACATCTATTTCTTCAAAATAATAAATAACAATTTAAAAAAAAAACCACCCACTTCCTTATTTTTTCAACACTCAATTAGTTTTTACTTATGTTTATGAAAAAATCAAAACATTAAAACTCCATGAAAGTTGAAAAATATAACAACACTAATTATTTTCAGAATTTGTTTGCAAGAAACTGCTATCCAAAAATGAGTACAGAATTGAACATTTACTTTTCCCAGTTATATGCAAATAGTAACTTACTAAGACATTGAATTTTGTACTGATATAGTCTATACACATAGAGTATTTCTGTATAAGGACATGACATTGGCATACTTTTACTTTTTTATACACCAGTAAATCAAAACACAAGGTTCATACTCACATAATATGCATTATTGTATAAAATAATAATATAAAAAAATATTGAAATTAGTGGCTATAAGTAAATTGCAGAAGTATAACTCTATATGTTTGAACATATAATCTTTATAAAAACTTTTGTTAAAAAGTCAAAATGCTAACTTAATATTATAATATAAAAAAGAGATAAATAAATAAATTCATATATATATTAATAAACTAATGTATAACCTCAATATTTAAGTGCCATCACTGGGTGGCTGTTTTTATCAAGCCTTTCCATGTATTATATTATCTCAGCTAATACTCTTATTGTACCCATGAGGTACAGATTGTGTATATAATAATAAACAAATTTAATAAAAAAATAAAAAAAAGTCAAAATATTGAATGTTTAATAAAACTTCTTCTTCTTCTTGTGGCCTTTAAATAAGGACCATAAAGGCCCTTGGCCGCTTTTATTATCCTTCTCCACTGATCCCTGTCTTTTGCAATATCGATGCTGAAAGAATTGTTCATTTTGGACAGGTCTCCCTTCACCGTATTAAACCATCTCTGGCACGGTCTCTTCACTCTTCAAGGACCTCTTTTCAGTTTGGTTCTCCACCACAACTTTTCTTAGGGGGCAACCTTCTGCCCGCCACACATGACCTGTCCATACTACAAATGAATTGACATATAATTAGATTTTTATAAAATCTTTGTAGCTAGTAATTTTTTCTTCTATCAAATATTCTTGAATCCACATTATACACTGGCCCATATATTTTCCTCAGAATTTTTCTTTTAAAACTTGTGATTTTTTCTTCATCTCCTTTTTTGCTTGCACATTTTCACATGCATATGTTGCAATGGGGCGCTTATATGTGGTGTATAATCACTCTTTTGTTTATCTCTTTCATAGTATAATAACTTCTGTTTGCCATGCACATTTTAAGGTTGATTTCATTGTTAATATTATTTTTCTCATTGTTGTTTACTACTTCTAGACATTTAAATTCTTCTACTTGCTTGAATAAGTATCCATTTACCTTGATGTTGTTCTTTTGGGTCACCTGTCTTGACATAACCAAATATTTTGTTTTTGCTTCATTAACTAATAAATCCATATTATAGCTAGCTTTAAAAAATCTCTTTGCCTTTTTGTCTTTCTATTTCCCCTGTTTATAATAAACATCTTTCAAAAAGTTTTCTAAAACAGTATCTTTCTTCAATTTAGAAACAAAGAAAAAGGATTGAAAAATTCAGAAACATTTTTAGCTACTTTTATCAGTTCCTACTATCCCAAAAAAATTTTGTGAAAGAAAAACATAATTATAAATAAAAAGCTCTAAATTCCAGAGAATTTAAGGGCCTTATTAGATTTTTAGAGATGTTCAATTGTAGATTTATGTACAAAATTAAAAATATTTGACCAATAAAAATATTTATTATTTAATAAATTATACATACCGTATATAAATATTATAATGTATACATTACTTAGATGTGAGAAAGGACATACAATTAAAAAATTTAAAAATAAAACTATAATCATAAAATGACTAACACTAATACACTATAATTTATTATATTTTTAAACTGAAAAGGTTATCTACAGATTTAAATATTATTACATTTAGTCATTATTAATTATGTCTATGCACCATAAGTATTAAATGTATACAACATTTTTGAAAATTGAGTTTTTTCTTCACAAATTAATAAAATATTCATTTTTAAAATCTGATATGTATTAGTGATTAATGATTTTGTGAATAGCTGCTAAGTGATATTGCATACTTTTTTTGTTAGTAAATCTTTTTAAACAGAGCATGCATTGGAACTGAGGGGGTTTCCCACATTCATACAATAAATGCCGTTTTAATGAGTGTTTTCTACGTAATCCTCTGTAAGATCGACCGCAATTATTAGGACATTCAACAGGGTCAACCACAGCTAGAACATTTAATTGATCATTGAAATTATCTTCTTTTACTGAAAAAAATAAATTATGTTAGTATTAAATCATATCAAATACAGATATTAAAAAAATACATTCATAAAGATGAAGCAATATATTAATGAGTGGAAGTTTGGCTACAAAATCATTTAAAAATAATAATCATTTAATAAGGATCACTTTGAAGTAAGTACAATTACATGATTTGTAAATAATTTATATGTGTATAAAATATACTTTACAATATAATCACACAAAATAATAATAACATAATAAAATAATATAACTAATGCCCATAGGTAAAAAAAATAGTAATATTCATTTTATTTTATGGTTCAAATATGGGATTTTACATTCAAGATAAATTATGCTTTTCAAATATGTTTTTATTACAAAATATATTAATATGTTTTATTTCATTCCAGTTATCACAAAAATTAAGTAAAAATCGTCACATTTTATCGCTTATTGGTAATACTTTTTTTTAGTAAAAAAATCAATATTGAATTTAAAAAACATAAATTTTAATATAAATAAAATGCCAAATTATCCTTATCCTTAATAAGAAAAAAATTTAGAATTTAGAATATACCAATCAAAGTTATATTTAACTTCTCACTAATTAAACTATATATATTTTAACAAATATTGAGTTAGTACAGATTTTTAATTTGATTTTTACAATATTAAGAAGTCAAAGTTAGTTCAGCAAGTACTTGTAATTAAAGTACATGTTTCAACTAATATTTATGCAACCATTGTTAAGTACTGAGGATGCAACTTAGTTATGAAATACTTACTTCATAGAGAAATGTTAATAAATTATTATTTTATGAATTACTATAATATATAATAATCAACTTAGTAAGATTAGGTAACATTGGAAATATTTTATATTATAACTCCATGAATTAATGCAAGATGACCTTTTAAATGATGTGAGTGCTTGAATGATTTATTGCAATAATTACACACAAATAATCCTGAAATACCACATTCATATTTGATATGCCTAACCAAATGAGATTTATTCTTGTACTTGCGGCTGCAATTCATACATGCCCATCTTTTGATCAGCCTGCATTCACCTGTAATATAACGTAGTTAATATAAATTTAGGCTACTTAAAGATTTGTAATTAAATAAATAATTAACCGTTCGGAATGCAAAGAAGCCACACAAAATGTATTTCAGAAAGCGATATTAAGGTTTTTTTAGTTTAATCATTGAAAATAGTATAAAATGTCAAAATGTCCAGATAACAAACAGTAATAATCTTCCTAAAACAAGAAAAGAATTAAATTAGAACCAAAATAACTATATTATTATCAATTACTAAACAAGTATTCATTTTGACTAAAATTGTTGGTAGAAAACCAAGGCATAAAATCATCTTAATAAATAACCATTTAATAATATTATTAAAAACATAATTGTTTGATTTCCATATTATGATATGTCTATAAAATATTAATTTCATAAGTTTATTTTGTCATTGAAATTTCAATAATCAATGTCTCAATATTTACAATTAAAATCACGAATAAAAATATATTAAGTAACAAAAAAAAAAAAGTATAAAGTATATTTTAGTAACAAAATGTATTAATAAAATATTATTAAACTATGACAGTTTTTTTTGTGTTATGAAACTGTATTACAAATATATTTTAATTTGGTAACTTTAACAATATGAAATTAACAAACAATACATTACAAAAATTACTTTTACATTAAAATAATATTGCTATAACATAATGATAAAATATATATTATTTAATACAGTATAGCTAGTGAAACCTTTCCTAACAAACACCTCTAAATATTAGATACCTTCAAATAGCAGATGGTTTTTTGGTAGACATAATTACCAAATTTCTACAAACTAAATCCTCTGAATAACAAACAAAATTTCAATAAAAAAAGTGTTCGGTATGTAGAGGTTCCACTGTATATACTATTTATAATATATTATATGCAACTCAAATATTTTTTCACATCACATAAGACATAACATGTTACAAATAAAATTATTGTTTGTACAAATTTAAAGTATAGGCTAGGTTTATTCGGATTTTCGAGATCGCCGGTTTCCTAAATCTTTATTTATTATTTTATGAACAACTACTACATGTTTTTTTAAAGCACTGTTATGTGCAAAACTCCTTGAGCAATGTGAGCATTTGAATTGTCTTGGTACTCCACACTCATACTTAATATGTCGCCAACAGTGATCTTTTCTTTTATAACTTCGGCCACATCCTCGTGGGCAATAGAACCGATCGAAAGTTGGCATTAATATTAATCCTAATAAATAACAAAAATATATTACACTTAATTAAAGAAAAATAATAAAAGAAATAATAATTTTTTTTACAAATCAGTAAGTAAAATAAATAATAAGCTTAAATAAACCACAATTTGTAACATGATTTAAGCATTGAAATCATATAATATCATTCTTTATAACACATACAGTTTAAAACCCCACTAACTTGTGGGTGATAAGTACAAAGTTAAATCAATAAATTGAAGGAGCAAAGTATGTCATGAAGATGGAAAATGATAAAGTTCATAAGAATGGGGGTTTTGAATAAAACCTCAAAAATGGGATTATGTGTGGATGGATGAAGTATTGAGAAGTGTTAGGTGTTTTGTGTGTTAAAAGGAGCTGTTGAGATTATCAGTTGGATTTTACAAAGCAGTTGTGAAGCCAATCATGTTAGGCAGTGGATAATTAGGCAGAACAAAGGGCAAGTGTATCACTGTAGCAGACATGAAAACGTTAAGGTGGATGTATGGAAGGACTAGGGAGGATTGAATAAGATATGTATTAATTAGGAATTTGTAGGAGAGGCATTAATTGTAAATAAAACGAGAGAGAATATGTTGAGATGTTCGGTCATATTATAAGGAGAGGTGGCTCCAAAGCAGTGAGAATGGCTATGGAAATAAATGTAGAAAGAAGAAGAGGGAAGGAAACCCGTAGAGATAGATAGACAGAATAAGAAATGACACAAAAACAGCTGGTGTGAGTAAAAGAGAAGTCGGAAAACAGAGCTTCTAAGCACCTAATTAAAAACACTGATTTTATAATTTCTTTTTTTTACTGTTGACTTCTAGGGAGGTTTCGGTAGAAAATTTGATTTAGTTTGTACTTCAATAGGCCAAAAGCAGAATTTTTCATTACTTCTTACGATAATCAGGAAAAAAACAAATATGAACATTTAATACTAATAACATTATATACAAAATATATCATTGAATTCATATTAAACATCCATTAGAGTAACCTACTCAATTAAACTCAATATACACTCAACATCTTCTGTAATTAAATTATATTAACAATACATTAATACTAGTACAGTAAAACTCTCTTAAGATGCATTGCTGCATAAGATGATGTTTCCTGACAGTCATTAGAAATTTTCTATACTAGTTAATGTGAAAACTACACTTGGTTTTTCTTTATCTAACTGAAGGTGATGTTCTTTTGATTAGCAGATGATGACAAACAAACAAATGTAAACTCTTTCTAAGAACATCAAGACAATGATATAATGATGTATGTATTTTTAATATTTTGAAAATATTTTTATAATATGTATCATAATACATATGTAATTAATTTATAAACATGTTTCAATTTAATAAATAAATAAAAGGGAAAATTATCCCCCTAGGTTTTTTTTCAATTTCCACATAAAAGACTTTCCCCCCACTTTTGAGCTGATCCTTTGAAGAGCATCTACTAGTAGTTGTTAATAATTTAAATATTGAAAAATCTGACATATGTACACACGATTATAATTTCTGTCAAAATGTTAGTGATATTTTCCTTATTTTAACAGTTTGGCTACAAAAATAATAAATGAGGGTGGGATGGATACATTCTACATCTGTATTAAATTCTACAGATGTACTGCGATTAAATGGTTTTAATGAAGCATTGACACATCTAATAGAGGTATAATACTAGTAATTACATCATTGTAATAATATTTTTAAAATAAAAAATAAAATAACTCAATAGAAGTCATAAATAATTTATTTTGAATTGTATTAGAATAAATGATAACATAAAAATAAAGTATCTAATGGTTATGATTTATGAATATTTAATTAAATACACATCTTCCATAGATAGAGTATACGTGAGTTTTGAGATGAGATCTGTAACTAAAATCTTTTCTACAATATGAACACCACACTCAAATGTGATATGTCTCTGCATATAAAAAAATATACATGGATACCTAGTAATCAATTATTCATAAACAATAATAACAGGGTTAAAGAAGCGCAGAAAAATCAATATTATTTTACATATATTATTGTATATTATATATTTATAACTTCAAAAATTTAAATATGTGGTGAAATGCTTAAAATAGTATTGAAGAAAATTGTTATATTAAATTTAAATGTGTTCTGCAATAAATACTGTTAATATTATTTAATTTCACATCACATTATAAAATTCATAAAAATAAAAGAAATATCCAAATATTACAAATTATAACCTATAACGTTTGTACAAATTTCATATATTGGTCTGAGATTTAAAATAAATTATCTAGTTAATGTAAATATTTTTCCATACCCTAAAACATTTGAAATCAATAAGAAACATGCAAATACTGTCAATTAAATATTATAAAATAGTCACAGATCGGTGGAATACTTTTAATATCCCCCAACCACCCTTGGAAATGTTTCTGTACACCAAAGTAGCAGATAATGAGCAATAGGAAATATTTTATTTAAATCTTGCAACTGAAAAACCAGTTAAGTGATACATAATTACTTATATGAGTAGAGATATTGTTATATTCAGTTTGAAGATAAGTACTTTGGTACTTGTACATTCTGAATGTTTTTAAAAATAATCAACATTTTAGTAAAAGTAAATTAAAAATACAAAATAGGGACTTTGTTCGAGTAGGTGTCTCCCTCAACAAACTGCTTTCAGTGGCGTCAGTGCAACAACTACAACAGTTATGCAAATAGTGATCACAGCCATTATTGACATCCAATCACTGAATGCCTAATTCAGAAATGATCTTTATTTCAAACAAAACTCTACTTTAATAATATGCATAAAACTACTTTTTCCAAGATGTACATGAAACATTCAAATCTCAATTTTCAATTTTATTTTATTCTTCGGTTGTAATTTTTCCATTAATTAAAACAATAATACTTGATTCCTTACATAATATGATTTTCTGCATAAAAACTCAACATTTAACAGTATATAAAAAATTATATTTAAAAACAATCATTGCTCATTAAATACTTGCAGTTTAACCAAGCATTGGGAAAAGGCAATAATTAATAAACAAAAGACAACAGACAAGTTTACTAACTGAATAGTTACATGTATATATTATCAATTGATTCTTCTAATTTACATATATGTACTAGTTTTAAATGATTTTTAAGTGCGTCCCGTCGAGTATAAGATTTCATACAAATATCACATAAAAAAGATTTCAAAACACCACATTTTGTCTTCATATGTCTCGTTAGGTTATCTTTTCTCGTATAACTATGACCACACTGGTTTGGACAAATATATCTTCGATGTAGTCCTAAAATTAGAAAACAATAATTATTAAGTATAAACACAATTTATATAAATTTCAAGACTTTAAGCATGCAATTTTAATTTGTTTCTAATATATATAAGAATACAAATAAAATTTCGAAATATACAGAATACCTAACAGGTACATGACATATGGTACTTTGTGGACTGCCCTCCTTCCCAACTATAACGTTAATACAATTATATAATATATTATTTCAATTGTCTTTTTTAGCAGTTGGTAGTTGGAACTGTTTCATTTGATTGCTTCCATAAGCAGTCAAATGGAGAAGTGATTAGCCTAAACATATTTTAATTATTTTCACAAGCAATTTTTCTTGTAGTTTTAACAATCACAATATATGCCATTAATAATAAAGTCTGTAGCCCAAGAACCTCTTGAAAGTTTGGAATTGTATTTACATAAATAAATTCAGAATTTGAATAAAATATATACCACCCAGATACCTATAACTTTGTATACGTAATATTTATATGCAAGGTGTATGAAAATAACTTGAGTTGTGTGATATGAAAATGACTGATATTAACCTTTGTTGCACACTGACCACAGCACAGATATGTTATAATAAAATATATTAAATTAATTTTGTCATAACAAGTAACTAGAACAAGACTATGAAAATACGAGTGTCTTATTTGTTTACTGTATAACACTTAAAAACTAAATGGAAAAAAGTATAATTTTTTAAATAATTATTAAAATTATATTTTACAGGTTTTAAAAAAATATTTAGATTTATACCATTTTCATGATTTTTAAGTTATTATAATAATTACTCATTAGAATGGCAAATAGTTTTCTATCTTAAGCTTGAAATAATAGAAATTGAAGAGGTTTTCCTCCTTCATCATCATTTATATTTATACTAAACAAATATTTCAATATAGGCAAAATTTAAAATACAATAATTTCAAGTTACACCACTGCATAAACCATATATGGTTTGAATGCATTATAATATTTAATGGTAAAACAAATTTCAATAAAACCAATTTTAAAATAATACTCCTTATTATAACACCGTACTATTTATAAATAAATAATACATTTTAAATTGTATTATATGTATGTAACATATAAATACATAATACAATAAATACTGATTATTATTAAAAGCAATGTGACTTTTAAAATCTCCATCAAAGTATTGTTTATATAAAATATAATTTGATGATAATTATAAATGTTTTAATATTTTTGTTTATTTAAAAGAAAATTACAAGTATATAAATTAGCTTATATCACAATTTGTAACAAATTTTGTTTACGTGAAAATAATAATATTCATAATAGTTATGATACACACAATATACATTACATTACTCATATAATTTTACTAAGTACAGTGAAAAATATATAACAACTTTAATTATATAAATCCATAATTTTTAGCATATTAACCAAGTTTTAATTTGTTTGATCCAATATTACTTTCATTCTTATCATTAGAACATATTACTATCAAAGCATCATTGTACAAAACGTTGTGAACACATAGAATATGTCTTTTAAGATTTGATTTCTGATGGGACAATTTACTACAATATGGACATTTGAATTTAGGATATACACCACATTCATTCTTTAAATGTGTTGTTAAATGAGCTTTCCATTTATAGGTTCTACCGCAGTTTCTTGGACATACAAATCTAGCTTCTGGTCCAGTTGTCGACAATCCTAGTAAAATTTAATATTCTATTAAAACAAATATAAATAAACTATTAATAAATATTAATATAATAATATATCTTATGTAAAGTAAAAATTTAATCATTAATTTAAGTTTATATTTTTATAATATTGAAAATTCAATATTTGAGTATAGTCAGTATATGTATAATTATATTTCATATAATAAATTATTGTCATCATTAACCATAGCAAGTTTGTTATTCACCAATAACAAATTTTTTTTTTTTTTGAATCTTTGACTTTAACAACATGATCATAACTACATACAAATTAACACAAGATTAATTCATGTACAACAACTATGAATAAAATTATTATAGGCTCTATACAACCTAAAAAAAAGCACATACAATTTAAAATAAGAGAAAAATTTACCGAATTCAGAAAAAAAGCAAAACCCTAGATAAGCTTTTTTATTGATATTAGGATTTTTTACATTTTTTTCTACGGGAATAAAGCATTTATTGTTAATTGATAATTAGTATTTTTTTTAAATATTGTTTTAAAACCATAAATTGTATATTTGAAATGCTTTTGCATATAATATGTGTATTGTGTACTAATGGTAAATAAATGGTTAATCTATTTATAATTGGCTTATTAAATAAAACACAAGTCTTAGTTAAATAATTTTTATTTGAAAATAATCAATTACTTATCTATTAGTTCCAAAATTTATATAGGTACACAATCAACTTTTATAATAATAAAATGTATTTATTTGTAGATTTCTATTGTACATCTTCAAAATTAATTATTTGAAAAAATTGTTTCCCAATAACACTTTATGGACACATAGAACATGTGATTTTAGATTTGATTTACGATTGGTCCGTTTGGTACAATACGGGCATTTAAATTGAGGATCAACACCACATTCAAATCTCAAATGATGAATCATGTGTCCTTTTCTTTTATAATGACGACCACATCCATTAGGACACACATGACGACTGTTTTCCAAATTATTAGTATGTATTATACCTGAAAATGTTGATTTTTCAATAACATACATTAGAAAAACAAATACACTTAAAATAAAACAACTTTTTATAAGCTTTTTTGACTGTTTACGTTATAAATTGATACCCCATCAAAAATGTAATTAATATAATTAATATTTTTTATAGTTGTAAAAAACATAATTAAATTTTATATTATCAGTATAATATTATGTAAGTTTTAGGTGGTGAAAATTTGGAAAAAATATTTTGGAATTAGTTTCACTGTTCTACAATGATAATTTTTTGCATAGCAATAAAAACCACTACAATATACATGTACTTTTTAACTTAAATATTTGTATAGTTAATATATATACATATATATGGATGTCTATCTGTCTGTCCTTTATGCCTGCTTAAACAGCTAGAGCGATTTTGGTAAAATGTGTGGATTGAAATGGTTCCTTTGATGATTAATAATCACATTGTGTGACCCAGTAGGTCCAACCCAGGGAGGTGTTCAGAAATTTTGAGATTTACGAAGGAAATTTTTGTTTATAAATGGTTGTTACTGGTTATAGGAGAAATATAAATATATTTAGTAAAAATTGGTATTTTTTTGTTTATTGATTGCCATTGGTTATCGGGCAGATCAGGTATAAAATTCATCAAATTGAATTTTCACACATTACCTACCAAGGTGGCTGAGTTGCACTTATAGCTGCTCATTGGTGTATCCGCAATCAAAATAAACATATTAAACGATAGAGTACACAACAAACGTATAGATTGCCTACCTGATAACATACTGCTGGCATTATCACAAGTGAATCTCATATAGAATTGTCATTTTTAAAGGTCAACGAAGTTCAAGGGATCAGCTAAAAAAGACCATTCTTGTTAAATGTTTTGAAAATAATGTTTAAATAATAATAATTAGTTTTTTTATGAAAATACTACTGCTTAATCATAAATCATAGTTTGATATTTGAAATAGTTTTACATATCATATGTGTATTACTGATATATAGGTATACATGGTTAATAAATGTATGATTATCTTATTAAATTAAAAAACAAGTCTTTGCATAAGTAGAATATTTATTTTTATTTTAAAATAATCAATTTCCTACATATTATTTGCAACAATGTATACAGGTATATAGCATACAACAATCAGCTTTTATAATAACTAATATCATATACCTAAATATGATACAATAATAATATAATATATAACTATTAATTTTTAGGTTTTCATTGTACATCATGTTAATTAATTATTTAAAAACACTGGAATATTTTTGTTGAATAAAACTTTATGTACACATAGAACATGTGTTTTTAAATTAGATTTCCTATTACACACTTTGCTGCAATATGGACATTTGAATTGAGGACGAATACCACATTCAAATGTTAAATGTTTGTATAAATTAGTTTTCCATGCATAAGATTTACCACAGCTTCTCGGGCATACAAACCTACTTGCAGGTCCACTCATCGAAAGTCCTATTAAAATTGAATACTCAATTAATTAATTTATAGATATTATACTTTTATAACAAAAATATAAGAAAAATATCAAGACTACAAGATTCGGCATATAAATATGAGTTCATTATATTTTTAATTATATTTTACATAACTAATGTGACTTTAAAAACGTATAATAATTAAATATTATTATTTTCTAATATACCGTGTTAAATATGTAATTTAATTTTCTTGTGCTTCAACAAAATAGGTTCATATAAATAACTTCATATAAATTGCATTATTACAATATTTAAGCTATACTAAATGTATAGAGTTAGTATGTTATTGCTTTATACGACGCTAAGAAAGCATATTTAAGTTTTAAAAAAGCAAACAATTGACAAAAATACTAAAAGAAAAATCATTAAAAACTTTTTTAAAAATATAAATAGGTAACCAATTCAATTAAGAAAAATGCTAAATTGTTATTGATAAATTATTCAGTTTTTTTAAAAAAAAAAACAAACCAAAAAGGTTTCCCCACAAGTCACTACTTTGCTGTAGAGTAGGAAATCAAGTGTATCTAGTCATTGAGTATTCTCCTGTAATGTATGTGTTAAAGTTTAAGTTTAATGATAAAGCACTGTATACAAAATAATTCTCAGTGAGGACAGTTTGGCACTCAATATTATTTAGTATATTTTATATTATATTTATATTGCTACTATATTAATTTATTTTACAATTTGTGAGTAAGTTCAAGAATTATTTCTGTAACTATTGCATTTATGCATTTATTATATTATTAGTATTTAATTATTATGATAGTACCCATATATTATTGTTTTTAACTTTTGGTACTTGTTTGTTATCGCCCCGCCAGTACACCGTATAAAATTTATATATGGGACAAAATGCTGTGGTTGATTGGAGTAATTATCTACGTGAGGTATGTGTATGGAAGCTTGAAAATAATCAAAATAAAGAAATTGGTGGACCCGGTCTTTTTGTTGAAATAGATGAAAGTTTATTTGTGCGTAGAAAAAATAATGCTGGGCGAATTCTGCCACAACAATGGATTTTTGGTGGAATATGTCGGGAAACTAAAGCGTGTTTTATAATCAGTGTACCAGATCGATCGGAGAAAACTTTGTTACCTATAATACAAAGATATATAAGACCAGGCTCAATAATTTTGTCAGATTGTTGGAAAGCTTACAATAATTTGCAGCAAGTGGGATTCAAACATAATACTGTAAACCACACGTATAATTTTGTCGATCCGGACACAGGGGCTCACACCCAACATATTGAGAGGTTGTGGGGTTCTGCTAAATGGGGCAATAAAAAGCGTCGTGGAACTAACAGAAATTTTCTAGAATCATATTTGGCAGAGTTTATGTGGAGAACACGTCTCGGAGAACAAGACGCATTTGAAACTATCCTCAAAGATATTTCCGAATTCTGGCCTCCATTATAACTATAGATTCATAATATATTTTCTACATTTTTATACATATTTTATATTTTATACATTTTTTAATTTCAATTTTATACTAANTTTTTTAATTTAAATTTTATACTAAACATTTATATATTTAAAACTATAAAAATAAAATAAAATAATATTATACATTGAAATTTTTTTTATTTATGGAGGGGCGATAACAAACAAGAGTGGCGGGGCGATAAATTGTATACGGTGTACTGGCGGGGCGATAACAAACAAGTACCAAATATTCAAATTATTCTAAATGGTTTGAAAAAGTCATATTGTATATATTAAATAAAATAATTTACGTACAAATGTCAAGCCCCTATAAATTATTTTTTTTAATTACAAAAAACTAACTACACTTAATTATCTTTAAATATCAAATTTTGCTCAAATTTGAGCTTCAGATGATCATACAAATATTTGTTTCATCAACCATACAATTTTTTTTTAATTTCAGAAATAACAACTCATGAGGAATTTCAAATTAAATTTTTAAGCTTTTTGACAAAGGGAAAAATTTAAGTATCTACAATTATTCGTTTCTTAATAACAACAAAATAAGATAATCTATTATATCAAAAACTGAATTTGGGTAAAAATTCCAGTTTTTCCTTATTTTTGCTTTTTTTCCACCCAATTACTATGAAAAGTACTGTGAATTTTAAATTTGACTTTCTAAAAGTAGACTTGCTTAAATACTAAAAAAAAAGTATCAAAGTATTTTTTCTATAAAAATTTGTATACACATACACAAAACAAAAAAAAAAAAACAAATCAATTTAAACTACAAATTAACATTGTAAAAATACTCGGTGTATTCAGTGGTCGAAGTGGAGGGGGGATACGGAGGGATGACATCCCTCTAATTTTTTGTATTTACATTTTTCATCCCTCTACTTATTTTGTCTAGAATAACGATGATAGAAAAAGATTGTAGTATTCTGATGCATAAACAAAATGTGAACTATAAAAAAAAATACTTTACAAGGTATGAAGAATGTTATGATGATATCAGGAAATCTGAATTGTAAGGCATCCCTCCACTTATCTTGAGCCATTTCGACCACTGGGCGTATTGTATCAATTGTCTAAATTAAAAAAAAAAATTCAATTCATTCATTGCTTCAATAAGAATCTTTTATACATATTAATGATTATACACACTAGCATAAAATATGTAAAAAAATAAATTATTAGAATATTTTTTAGTCCAATGTCATTACTTTATGAAAACAATGTTGTATTAACTGTTTAATTCAATGGGATCAGATGAGAAATAAAATGTAACATTAATTTTGTGTAAAATAAGGATTTAATGAGAAAAGCAATAATGAACACGGAATACAAATTAATAATACACATATCATTATATTTAATATTATGTATATATAAAATTCATATAAATTATTTCTTCTTATACATTATGGTATAAAAACATTAAATTTAACTTTATTACAATTTACTTATATATATATATATATATGTTAGATTAAAAAGACAATGAAAAATATATAATTGTGTACTTCATAAATATTTTTATATACTCTTTTATGATTTGTATCACAATGTTAGCAATAATTTTAAGTTACATGAATAGCAATCATAATTTAAATGTACATACATAAGGCATTAAATAAAATAAAAATGCATTCATAAATAAATAGTTTTGAGCACATTAACCAAATTATATAATACTATATAAATCAATTATTTTTTATAAAATTTTTGTATAATTGATAATTAAAACTAATCATTAGAACATATAATCAATGCATCGTTGTATAAAACTTTATGCACACTTAAAATATGTGTTTTAAGATTTGACTTTTGATGGGACAATCTACTACAATATGGGCATTTGAATTTAGGCTCTACACCACATTCATATTTCAAATGGGTATTTAAATGATATTTCCGTTTATAGCTTCTACCGCAATTTCTTGGACATACAAGTCTATTTTCTGATCCAATCGACAAAAAATCTAAAAAAAATTTAAATCTCAATTATTACAATAAACTTATTACTATAAAAAATTAAAACAGATGTTAATTAGTTTAAAAAATAAATACTAAATTTGCCATTAGCGTTTGGTATTATATGTACCAATAAGTTTTAATTAATACTTGTCTTTCAATTTAAATACAGCACAAATGCACAATATTATTAATCCGACACATGGAACTAAAGCAGTGTTGAATGATCAAAAATTCTAGCCAAGTGGAACTATATATTTTTGAAGAATCAAAAAAAACATTAATATTGCTAGTTACCACAGGGTAAGAAGGGCAGGATTACTTGACATGTCGAACTATTGCATAGCCGGGCTATAGATATTGTGCTGTACAAACTGTAATGTGTTCATACATAGTATATTTAAATATTTTTGCATAAATTATATATTTAATGTGCATCTAATAATTAAATAAGAACCACTTCATAGTATAAGTAGAATATTTATTTTAGTTTTAAAAAAACCATTTACTTACATTTTATTTACAAAAAAAAGTTTTACAATAAAATGATATATTAATTCCTAGGTTTTCATACCACATTATCATAATTAAGTATTTGAAAGCATAAGCATATTGTCCTCAAATATAACTTTATGAACACATAAAACATGTGTTTTTAGACTGGACTTCCGATTGGACCATTTACTACAATATGGGCATTTAAATTGAGGATGAACCCCACATTCAAATTTCAAATGATATGTCATGTGTCCTTTTCTTTTATAATGACGACCACATCCATTTGGACACATATGACGACTGTTTTCCAAATTATCAGTATGCCTTTTATCTGAAAATGTCGATTGGTCAATAACATAAATTTGTAAAATAGATACACTTAAAATAAAACAACTTTTTATATGCTTTTTTGAATATTTTTATGTTATAAATTGAAACCAAACAATTCAATTAACATATCTATAGATATTAACATTAATTTCTTTAAAAATTAAACTAGTGATATACATAATATTTTTTTATATTTGCAAAAAACATTTTATATGTTAATTTTACTGTTCTACAATTATAAATTTTTAGTATAGTAAGAAAAGCACTACAATAAACATGCACATGTTAATTTAAATATTTAAAAGTGAAAAATATTGAATATTTTTTTAATTATCTATCAATAATTTTAGAATTAAATATTGTACAATATAGATACATCTGATACCTTTTAATATTATTATATTATTATATTCAAGTAATGTAATTTACATTATTTACCAAATGTTTGTGATGTACTCATTTCTATAGTAGAATCAAGATTATGGTAAATCCTATAATTATACCAAACACTTTCGTATATTGACATTTTTTCTGAAATTTATTTTTTTGATCAGTTGTAAGGTCACCCAATTTCTAGATTACTCCTTTTACGCCAAAAATTTTTTTCATACATGACATGTCAACTGAATTGTTATTATTTTTTAGATTAAATAAGTTTTTAAAAGTGTTTTAAACTGAGCATAAATAGTTAAATAGATTATAAATAGTTCTAGAATTATTAATGTGAAAATGCAACTTACACCTTTTAAAATAGCATACAACAGATATGTGAAACATTCTTCAAATAATTATAAAAATAATGACGGAAATATTATTTTTGTATTTATTATCAATGATAACACCTAATTCTTATAATAATAGTTGAATGTGAATGTATAATATATATTAGGTACTTTACATTAATCCATTATTAGTACAATATCATTACCATTAAAAAAAAATTTTTATCCATTGTCATTTTTTTTTTTAAATACCTGTTTTATTTAGAACACTGAAGTTCATCAACATTTGTATGGACCATAGTTAAGCATTATTGTATGTGCTCACTGTAATGTGCAGCATGAATGTTCAGAATTAATTTTTAATTATTTAACACAAAATGTCTTAAAATAACATTCTTCCTATAAAAGGACATATGAAAGATAGTTTCTAAATATATTTTAAATATTTAAAAGACTCATATAAGCTATGAAATGATCAAATTGGTGTGATAGTAATAAGATAAACTCAGTTTCTTAACTGTATTCACAAACTTTAATCAATTAGTTAATTTACAAAAAGTAAAAAATTCAAAATATCAAGTAAATTGTTTAAAAACTATAAAATAATGATTAAAATTTCAACAAATTTACTGAAAACTAAATGTTTATAAATTATAAGCATTTTATTATCAAAAAGGATGAAAACAAGTAAAATTCAGTACCTAATAAATGAAAAAGTATATTACACACATCATAAAAATTACAATAATACTATCCAGTGGTGTATCCGTTGGGAAGTGAATAACAACATTTTCATTAATAAATCGTTAACAGATAAAATTTGTCAACCAACTGTCACCACTGATTCTATCTATTTGACTAGGTTTTGATTGAAATGAATGTTATACATTTAAATACTGAACAGATTTTTACAAACAATAAAGTGGATCTAATAATTTATAAAAAAAAAATTAACAATAATGTCATAATAAAATTTGACTGGGTGTATTCTTATATTAAAACTTAGTTTTCCTTGGAGAGGTTGGAGATGGGCTAGTTATATGTAGATTAGAGAATTAAGACTAATCCATTAGTTTTATATTTGTTAATATCAAGTCAGTAGTTTTGAGAATACAAGAATACAAGACAAATCACAACTATATACAATAGGACCTTGATTAGCCGCCGGTCACAAGACAAGAGCCTTCGTGGATAATCAGAAAGACAATTAAGCAAGAAGCTGAAATTTGTTTAAACATTGTACATACACATTATTTATTATTTTTTCAGTTTTATACATAATTACTATTTGTTATACATTTATTTACTACAATATGTAAATTCATAATTTTTTTTTAAATATGCCATCTATGCATATTGTACAATTATTGTGGTTTAAAAAAGTTGTTTAATTTAAAAAAAAAACCAGATAGTTAATTGAGGGATAAATAATTTAGGTTCTACTATATTTGACAATAAGATGTTTTGAAGCCACCAAGTTTACTAAGGAAATAATTTGACAAACGCAAGGTTTATATTAAAAAATACCCAGTTCCTTTGCCCTGTGAACATTTTTTCTATGTCTAAGGAGTTTATCTTTTCTAGAAAATTCTTTTGGACATTCTGGACATAAGAACTGTGGCTTTTTACCACATTCGAAGTCAAGGTGTCTGCGAAGACCTCCTTTGTATTTATAGCTTTGCTTGCAATTCGGACAATGATGTCGTTCGGCAATCAATCGTTTTTTCACTTCAATTTCAACAATTTGATTAAGCCAAATATCTGTAAATAAAAAATTCAAAAATAAAATAAATTTTGTATCTTTAATCATACATTTTGAAAGATTCAATTTAGCTTTAGCAAACTACTCTAAACTACTCTATATTAGAAAAAATATTATTTGAATTAACTCGATAGAATTGTAATAAAATATGAATCAAACTCTTATACACTTAATTGTATTAAAAATTAGGAAGAGATATGTAGAACACTTGCATAATATTTTAAGTTGGTATTTATTTTAATTCATAAATAATAAAATCATATTTAGTAATTATGTACACAGTACATACATGATACAATCAAATTAATACCAAAAACATTATATTTGGTTTATAAGTCACTTACAATGATACAGTGAATATTACCAATATGTAATCTTAAATTGGATTCTTAAAAATTAGTCACAATGTAAACATTTAATGCTGAGGTTTTACACTGCAATTTATAATGAGTGACTATATAGTATATATATATACATTCTTTTTATACTTATAACATCTACCAAATAAATGAGGACAGTCAAAACCTTTCATTCTGTAATCATGTGCTCAATTGCCTATAATTAATATTCAACTGATACTTATTTGTTTAATATTTCAAAATAGTGTTATATAACATAACAACAAGGCCCTAATAACAGTTAATACAATAAATAATAAAAGTACGGGGGATGAGGTGACCGAGTGGTCTGTCGCGTCCGCTGCGATGCAGCCGATCGCGGTTCGATCCTCAGCCACCGGGCGGCATTTTTCTTCGGACAAGTCGCGGTGACCAGAGAACAAGTGCCGCCATCCCCCAACCGGGCATGGCAGAAACCTACAGGTGCCCAATAGAAATTCTGCCAAAACAAAAACACACACGTGTTCCCCCCCTACATTCCCAAAACTCTACAGTACCACACAACCTACAGCTAATGGCCTCAGTTGCCGAAGCTTAAATCAAAAAAAAAAAAAGTACAATTTAGAAGAATACATTTTAAGTAAAGGCATACCCAATTATTTGAATTAGGGAAGTACCTATATAAAAATGTTATTAATTATTACCAGTAATAATTTAGGTCAAATTTTAAATATGACTTTCTAAATACCTTTTATTTGTTGAAATTATTAAAAAAAACTTAAAAGCATTATTAATCTAAAACCAGTAGATTTTTAGTTCTTTGTGACTCCCAAAACCTTCATACTAATATATTAAGTTCAGTCGGCTTTATTTAATCAGAAATTACATACATAGGATTTCATGACTATAAAAATATAGACAAATATAATCAAAAGAAAGGGAAGTGGCATGAGTTATATTATGAGGGGAGGTTATTCAGAAGTAATTAGAGTGACTGTAGAGATGAGTGTATAAGAAAGCGGAGTGAGAAGAATACTGAAGAACAGATGGATAGACAGAATAGTGAATCACTGGTAACGAAAATAACTGGTAAAAAGTAATTAAAAGGTGGAGAAGAGAGAGTATGTTTATGGAGATGTGGATGGAGAAGCTAATCACAATAGTTGGGTACTAAGGGTAAAGAAAATAAAAGAGAAAAATTAAATGTTTATTTCATGGTCCGAAAACTTAAGAAATGCAATATACCAGTTTGTTATTAGTTGTTCTAAATATAACTAAAATATATTGAAAATACAGTCACAATGTTTTGAACCAATTTTGACAAAATTAGATAGTCAAATAAAAAATATCGACTTGATTGAATTACATAAAAAATATTATTTCTAAACACTTAATACTTCTTGGTATAAGAAAATAATTATTTTCAATTAGCAATACAATATTTAAAATAATTAGAATAGTTTTATACCTACATATTTATACAACAAATTTATTCATACCATTTTACAGTAAGTCAAGATAGTGTGAATATTTTGATATTTTTGTAAAAATTAACTAAGTCTACCGAACTATGAAAATACGAATAATAATATAAATTTAACATTTCATAGGCTATACTTAGAAATATATTATGCTGATCCTCCCGGGAAACTAAAAATATTTTTATTATATATATCCAATTTATTGTTTATACATTGTTGATATTGTATATTGTTAATCAATTATTTTAGTATTGAAACCAATAATATTTTAGATAATATACAAATGTATTACATAGATTTCAATAAGAAAAAGACCAAAGTTTTTTAAATCAATATTTATTGTACATAATAATAATTAATACTATTATGCATAATATTTGATTGCTGACAAAATTGGTAAAAATTATTAAGCGCGTACATAATAATTATATTTATTAACCGTAGCACAATAATTAATTGTAACTTAAGTTATATAGATATAAATGTTCAAGTACTAATAATAACTATGGATTGATCTCATAGATGTATTTCTTTAAAAGTATCTATATTGGGAATTGTGTATGTAAGAACCTAAGGTTTTACACTTGTATATACAAGTAGCACTACCCCCTTATTTATTACTAATACCCATGGCTAAATAACTAGGTACGATCGCAACTTTGTGATACGTTGGTGTCATGGTCGCCATTGGCAGTGCATATTATCATTTCCATTTATTAGTTAACAAAACAATACAAAATTATTAATTCCATGGCTAAATAAATCTAAAAATCACTGCTAGCTGAGATTCCTTTCCATGGAATCATGCATAAATCATGCAATATATATATATATATAATATATTGCATTTTAGTAAGTAGGTAGCAGCCCATAACTAAAATGCGTCTTAATGCAATCATACCTAATTATTTAGCTATGCTAATGCCTATGTTAAAAGTCACTAGCAGAACTTCAATGTATTGAAAAAAAACCACTGTACATAATATATGTTAGGGAAAGTCATAATTTGATCAATTACAGTATCCTCTAAACTTCTATATCTTAGTTTGTAAGTAACACATAACTTATACAAACTTTAAAATGTATTAAATCAAATTTAATCTATATCACATCAGTTCAATAGAAAATGGTAATCAATAAATTATAAGATTAATGATAGAATTTGGTACAATACTTCTAAATTATCGATCCAATCAAATATTGACTCATTATTGTTTTAAGCAAATCAATCCAACTTTTAAAATACATTATTAAACTTATCAAACAAAATAACTAATTATGTATCATGTATGCTTGATATCAAAAACTTAGAATAACAGAATAACCACTTTTTTGAGTAATAAGTACTGGGTAGGTTTTTTTTTTTAATAAGAAAATTTACAATTTATATAATAAGTAAATATGATGAACAATATTACAGGACATGAAAATCTTGAAGGAAGGGAGAATTTAAACTTAGGAGGGAGGTAACTTTATAATAAGTAGCACAAGGCATTTTTTAATAAATCACGCGGCCATTTGCGTTTGAGGCGACAAGGGAAGTTATCAGGGATTGTACAAGAAGAAAGTTTAGATATGAGTGGGTTTGGTTAATTTTTATGAAATTTATTATAATGATAAGAGGCAAGTGTGGATATTGATGGTATGTTGAGATCATGATGACATGATGTAGGGTGCGGTTGCTGACGTACCAGGGAACATTAGAGAGGACACGCAGAGATATTAATTGGAACGCTTGGAATTTGATTAGGTTTGAGTTTTTAGTAGTATCCCACAGTTGAATTCCGTAAGTCATTGCTGGACGTAATATTTGTTTATATATTAGTGTTTTATTATTTAAAGAGATTTTAGATCGAAGAAGTGGTCTTAATTTGTGAAGTCTGAGATTAAGGGAAGTTCTTTTAGCTTTGATGTGATTAGCCCAAGTTAGTCTTTTGTCGAGAAGGAGTCCTAGGTATTTAACGGAATCAACAATGGGAATTGTTTGGTTATTTATGTAAGCTGGAGGAATTATTGTAGGCCTGAGGGTAAAAGTGATGTGAGTGGATTTATTTTCATTAATTTTAATTTTCCATAAGCTGAACCAATCTTGTAGTTGGGTTAGGTGGTCTTGGAGGTTGCTTGTAGTGATGGCTATTTCGGAGTTGGTTAATATTATGGCTATGTCATCGGCGAAGGTAGCTAGAGTAATGTTGATAGATTGTAGTAGATCTACTGTATATATATTATAGAGAGTCGGGGAAAGAATACTGCTTTGAGGGACACCTGCTTTTATAGGATGTGGGTCAGAGGTTTCGTCTTCACATCTTACTGAAAAAGTATGGTTTGATAGGAAAGATTTGAGTAAGAGGAATAATGGAGTGGGTAAAAATAATAATTTGAACAGTAGCCCTTCATACCAGACCCGATCAAATACCTGAGCAACATCAAGAAAAACCCCAGAACAAAAATTTTTTGTTCAAGAGATGAGGCAATAGTGTCGACTAGTCTGTGTAGTTGGTCGAGGGAGGAGTGCTTACTCCTAAAGCCGAATTGAGCGTTTGGAATAATTTGTTTTTCATTAAGAATCGGATAAGAATGGGTTAGATTAAAACAATATTTAATTAAGTCTTATAATTTGTAAGCCAAAAGCAAAAAATTAGAAGGATAATGTGTATATTGTTTTGTTTTATATACATAATATATGATACGGATACAGGGAGAAGGACGACCCCCCATGGGTGTAGTGTCCCCTGTAGCCTGTAGCATGAAACCAACACAAAGAAAAAGGTTAGGTGAGATTAGATTAGATAATACAGAATAATCAATATAATCAAATAGGTAATGCATATTATATTAATACACAATTTAGAATTTGAAGTATATTATATATCAACAATAGTCATGCTAAACAATAATAGATATCCTCAGATTATTTTGTTTTAGTTTGAAAATAGATAGTATTTAATATTTTGAATTGCATTGGTGAAGTATGCAAAAATTATTATTATTATTGTTATGATAAAATTAGTATGTATATTATGGCAATGATGACTGATGTGTTATATGTATTAAATATTATAAACAAGGCTTGGGACTTATAGCATTTGCTTATTTGTATGGTTTAACATACAATCTAACAGAATGCTATTGAAGTGTATGTCACGTTACAACGCATTCAATTATAAAATTTGAAAGTGTCTTATTTTGCTATTTTCAATGATTATTTAAAAAAATTCTTATTTTTAGTTTTTAGGTGCCACAGACAAAAACCTAAAAATTATAGTTAATATCTGTTGTTGTTTGTTTTTGTTCACTGTAAACCTAGAACAAAAAATAATTTTTCTCATTTATATCATATTTCCAAGCAATAAACAAAGGAACTTGTATTTGCTCGCTTATCTACTAATCGGCCAAATTAATCAACTTTTTGGGGATATAATAAAATTTTTCAGAAATATAATAAGGAAGTTAAAAAGTTTTAAAAAACTCTAAAAGGCTAAGTTTTAATTTTATTTATGTTTCTAAGTATAAAAATTAAACCATAATGTATAAAAAAATTGTGTTTATAGTTTTTATTGTACTTTTTTTTGCTCATTTTAATATTGTAAGAGCTTATTTCAGTGGTTAGAGACGTTATAGTGAAGTATTTAAATAATTTTTTTAGGGGTTATTTTGATGGTTATAAATGCTTTAAGTCTCAAACCCTGATTATAAAATAACAAAAAACAATTTACAACATGAATTATACTTCAATTAATGAATTTATTTTAACAGTTAAAACACAGGATGATTTTTTAAGCATGTTCACCCTATTTTTTCTTAAATTATGCATCTATTTAAATTCTGATTTTTGGAATTTTTAAATACGCTTGAAGACAATGGAGGTTTTAAGAGTGAGGAAAATGAGGCACTGTCTCACTTATAATTTCAAAAATTAAGAAAAATTTGTTTATTTAATGTTGGTACTATTTTGAATTTTATTTGTTTACTTTAAATAAAAGTATATACTATATATATTAGATAGAGATGCATTAATTAAACAATATTTTAGAATATTAATTTTTTTTTTTGTACAGAACTTGCATGAAACGTGAGTATGGCTAAGCTTAGCAGTAATGTTATAAGCTATTATAGCAGTGACACTACGATTAAAGGCTTGGCATTTGACAGAGGCAGTAGCCACCTCTGCTTTAGTTTATGCATGAGAGATGGGCCTTACGTAAAATAGTATAAATAGCTGACCGAGGCAACATACATATACTTATCAATATAAATAACTTGTAAAAATTATCAAAGTTCAATAAAAACAACATCTAATATTTAAATTTTGATAAGACCATTTTTAAACATTATTATTCTTAGCATAAATATTTTAATAACTCAGAAACTACAATCTAAATACATAAACATTTTCAAGAAAATCTTCCGCTAAATAGTTTTTAAAGAAAAGAGGAGAGTTCTTATTTGAAAAACAGAAGTTTGTTACGCCCACTGCCCAGGAAACTTCTCAAATAGTACAAGCAATATCAGACATTTGAAAATATAGTAATTAGTTATACTTAAAAGTTCTAAAAATCAGAATTTGAATAAATGTACTAGTCAAAGGAAAAATGGGAGTAAGCATGCTTAAAAAAATATGTGGAAGAAAAAATCATTCATATATAAACATAAAATATTTAAAAATTTAAACATCAAAAATTATAAAATTACTCACAAGATAAGACAGAGAGACTGAGGTAAATGAGTACCAAATGTAACATCAGTGATAATACAGGAATAAATATTTGTATACCACATATCACAAATATGTTTCATTTTTCTTCCTAACTTAAGCTTAAATGCATAGTGTACAATTGATTACAGTAGACAACTATTTTTAAGATTCTCTTATACACCAACACAACTTAAGCAATTACAATCAAATATATATGTATATTCAATTGACATTGTATGTGCGATTATCTATGCGCCCAGATAATAAGCCAGTAGTATGTTGTCTAAGGACATGGAATTTCAAACTAGCATTCTGAGTATATGCCTTGGGACAAAACGAACATTTGAATTGTGGCTCAACTCCACATTCGTTTTTCTTATGGCGTAATAAATTTGTACGGTGCTTATACTTCTTGCCACAACCATTTTCGCACACAAACCAAACCATTCCTGAAAATATATTCATCTATTTAATACATTTCATAATTTACACTTAGATAACATAAAATGTTAGTTTCAATTTACAAAACATTATGAATAATATAGTTCAAATAATATTGAAGCATTAACAATTCAATGAGCATAATATGAGCAGATTAGTTAGCAAAATATATTATATATGTATATTTGAACTAAAGATTTAGTATTATTTAAAAAAAAGAATACAATCAGGATATTGAACTAAAATTTGGAGATTTGTCTTGTTTTTATTATCCAGTACAAGGTAGTATTCTATAATTAAAATACATTTTAATGCAAATCATAATGCAAAAATATACAATATATACAATAAATAACAATGTTAAAAGTAGTATATTTTCTAATGTTTTTTTCCATTTAGTTATTGTAATATTTAAGAAAGTACATGATGTATGAGCAAAAAACACACAAAATGTGTTCAAACAGTAGAAACCAATATAATATGTGGTGAGTTGATTTTTTTGCCAATTTGTTAACCGATGATAGATGTTCCTATTTATTAATACTAATTTCTGTACTAGCTGCAAAACCCCTCCAATGCTAACATTCAACCCACAGCATAAAAAATATCACATTTTTTTTTATGTAAACAACAATTATGCTTTAATCCAGTTAATAATTACTGTTAATTTACTGTTCTCTTGTTAGATCCCTTCTAGAGTATCCCTCAGTACTATGAAACCCTTGTACAGCAGTTGGACTCTTCTCTTATAGAATGTGTCTAGAGAAGACTTTTAACACATTTGCTGCATACAATGCCAATTGGGGTCAATAGCGTCACTCTTTATGTGCGGTCGACGCCAATTGGCATCATCTGATATACCGATTGTTATGAGCTTATAATTCGGTCAGCGTTAGAACCAGTGGGCTCAATTTTTGTCAGCGTTATCTACAAACATTTTTAAACATAATTTTGAAAACCGTTTCTAAAAATAACCATTTGTTGTGTATTTATGTACTTCCCTATTACCTACTTTTATTATGTTGTTTTATTATTATTAAGCATACCCAAATGATGACGATCCATCATCGTCATAGCACAATTATTTTTGTATGTTAAAGATAGACATATTGTACTTAGTATCCATTGATAAGTTGACAACATTCAATAGTGCTAACAACGCCAAATGGCGTCGTTGTAGATTTTATTTTGAAAATTGAGTACGTACCGCGATAGATGGTTCTAAAATATGATATGCAGCGAACGTGTTAAGCTCATCAGCATTTATTCTGAAAATTCATCATCCCCCTCATGACTACCAATCAATTATGCACAAAATCGGTCTTGCCTCTTGAGCCGAAAGAAGAGTTGAGACTAACTTACTCTATTTACAAAAATTAATTGATGGATGTATTGATGTTCCTCCATTACTCGCTCAAGTTCATTTTAAAGCTCTATCCCGTCAAACTAGGTCGTCCGCTCTCTTAACACAATACTAATTACAGCAAAAACCAACCTATAGATAGGATGATGTGGCTTGGCAATAAGCAACCTCACTTGTTTAATAGTTATTAGTAAATATTACTATTATTACCATTATGTACCTAATTACTTAATTATACATCTTAATATCTTATATCATGTACTTTTGTATTATTATTATATATATTATTATATTACACATACAACTGTATGAAATTTTTACTATAATTGCTACTTGCAAAACTGAGTTAGTGTAATTATATATGTTACGGGCAAAGTGGAAAATTCGGGCAATGTATACAATGTCCGGGCATTGTACACAGTGACCGGGCATTTTATACAATGTCCGAGGTATATTGGGCAATGTAAATTGTGAAGTATTTATACAAATAATCTGCATAATATATTTTGTTAGATGATAATGATAAACTAATATGAATTTATAATCGACATCTGATTGTGTTTGCATGTTGATCAAGTCAATTTCACAGCGAGAATTCATTTTAGAAGATATGATTGGTTTTACAACCAACCCTTTTTTTTAGCTGTACTTCCCTTCTTTTTACACGATTCGCAATTATTTAAGTATACCATTATTACATCTCTAGTTATATTTTTTTACTTTTTATTAATCTCGTGTTCCATTCTATTTCTACCTCCATGTCCAATTGACAAATGAACTTCATGTATAATATCATATAACTGAACATTATGCACATAATATTTTATTGCATTACCTTTAAATACATTTAAAATTTAATTAATTAAAAAAAAATTATAATACTCATATATAAATAACCATATAAACGAGTATAATAATTATTAGTATATAATATCATTGATTAGGTAAAATAATATCATGCAGATTATTTGTATAAATACTTCACAATTTACATTGCCCAATATACCTCGGACATTATATACAATGCCCGGTCACTGTGTACAATGCCCGGGCATTGTATACATTGCCCGAATTTTCCACTTTGCCCGTAACATATATATTTTTATGAATTATAATGAGCTCACTAACCGCAATTAACTAAATTAATTAAATTAAATAAATAAGTTAATTAAAATAAAATAATTATATTGCTGTGAATATGATAACATTAAAGCCCTAAATTATCCTATTGATCACTGTACAATTGGTAGCAGTGGGCTTCTATTATAGCAATGTGTTTGCATATCCAGAACAGTATTATTTTGAATTTGAAGCAAATTAATTAAATAATACTTAAGCATTCCACTAGCTGATTGTACTTATTACAGATATCTGAAAGTGATATATTATGAATGTAAAATATGTACAGAAAATATAATTTATTTTAGTTTTATGTATAGAAATATTTAAATATTTTTTAATACATTTTATACAAATTAATTTTATTTTATATAGTTGTAAAACCAATATGCACTGCTTAGGATAAAAAAATTATTACAACATAACACAGACTTAAATATTTGTTTAAAATAAAACATGACATTTTCCTGAAAAAAAAAGGTTTTTGTTTAGAATTTATATTTTATTTGTCATATTAAGAACACAACCAATAAAAAAGAAAATACAAAAATAATATCCAAACATCTTTATCATGAAATTAAATATAAAAGAAAATTTTAAAGTACTGAAGTAAATGTGAAACTAACACACATATTACTAAAATTTGTTTGGTCAGAAAAAAAATATATTGAGATTATCAGCTATTCAGAAAAAAATATATTTATTTTCAAAATTTATTAATTATTCATTCATATAAAATGTACAATAATAATTACTTATTTTATAATAATGAAGTGTATTAAACATTTTTTTTAATACAGTTCAAATGTATTTTTTTCTTCCAAATTTAAATAAATAAACTATAAAATTAATAAAGATAATAATATTGGTAAGCAAAATGTATTCATAATATTAATCTGCCATAAAAATAAAATATGAAATAAAAGACATTTCATTTTGCCATATAAAGACAAGAAACAATAACAGGCTGTTTAGAATTTGTCTCACCCTCCTAGTAAGCTATAACTGTTATAATATTATACTTGTTAGATATTATATAAAGTAACAATTTTAGTTATGACATTAAAAATTAAACAATCATTCATAAAATCAAAATGTATAAATAATACTAAAAAAGTTGATAGCAATAATATTATTTTATGAATTATTTACCTTGAGCATACATTTTAACGCTTCGAAATTAAAAGTTTGAATTACACACATTTTTAATATTCAAAATTAAATACAATGTTAGATAACATATTTAAAAACTAAATTTTATAACTACCTATAGTATAAACAATATTGAATGAATATTGCTTATAGATGAAAAATAATGGATATTAATTCCCTCAATTATAATGATTAAAATAATAAAAAAGTTTTTACTTTTGCAATTTATTATTAATGGTATTAATGATAGGTGTATTAAAATTGTTTATACAACCTTCAAAAAATGTTTGTATTATGTAATATTTTATTTTTAAATTAGCTAACTTACTGCAATTAGGAATTTAAAATAAGAATATTAATTCAAGTCTAATAACAACACTGACACATAATAATTTTTACAAACCAATAGTGAAATTCAATTAGAATTAAGCATAAAAACGGTTCTTGTAAGTACGGTGTGGTGTATATAGTACTTCATATCATCTCAAATAATTTAATTGAACATTTACACATGCATGGCTAGTAGTTAAAACAAAAAAAATTGTATGTAATATATAAAACAGACATGGGTAAACTACATTATGTTATGTTAATAATAGTAACATTTGATTTTAGAAAAACAGTAACAATTAACTGTGTACAAAAATAATTATAATTTAGGAGTCAATGAAGTTAATAATTGACATGATGGTGTTTTAAAATGTATATCATCAATATCTTTTTTATTTAATATAATAACTTAATTTGTTTAAACATAGCCAAGAAAAACAAATCATATACAAAATGTATGTATTATATTTAAAAGTATTAATAAAGTTAGTATGTAGTTTAGATACCTTTAAAATGTTGAACACTAAATTTAATTTTACGAAGCATAGATTAGAAAAATATAGCTGATTGTAATAGGATATTTGATTCAGATAGTACAATGATGATTAGTGGATACAAGAAGTGAGTGATTGGGTGATTGAATAATAGAAAATTGTGAATACTGATGAATTAACCTAGTATGTAATTTATTTATTAATTTTGGGTTGGGAAGAAAAATAGCTACCCACATCTTTGTATTGAAAATTTGTTTTGCTTCATAGTTTTAACTACCCCCTATCACTTAATCATTTCTGGATCCACTTCTGACT